TCCCCGAGGTACGCACTAGTCAAGTTCCATTAACCCATCTATTAGACTCCATCATCCATCATCTACCAATCAGTGTATCACTCCAATACATCTCACCTCCCATTCATTCATTCATTCATTCATTCATTCACCGTGAAGATCCGGGTTAGAATTGATCTTCAGAAACCCCTGCTTGTCGTAAGAGGCGGTTAACGGGATCGGGTGGTCAGGCTCGATGGCATTTTTGACACATGTCACCGTATCCCAATTGCTTAGATCGATGCTCATGCTGTTGATCACTGGATTGTCTGGTCCAGACTCGGTTATTTACAGTCCGCCGCTATATAACTGGAATATTGCTGTGTGTGGCGTAAAACTAAACTCACTCATTCATTCATTCATTCATTGTCCGTACGGCATTCGATGTATTCATCACTGTCTGTTCTTTCACGAATAGCGTTACACATGAAATCTATGCTGAATTATTTTGAGCGTCAAAACCTGCATCACTTCTGTCTGTCCCCACACATCAAGCTGCCACGCCCTACTGTAACTGAAATATTCACTTAGTTACTTCTAATACAAGGTCAACTATATACATATACATGTACCAAAGACAAAGATGCAAATTTGACCATGTTCCTTTATGTTAATTTGAAACCGACATTTTCCTTTAACATAAACCCCGATGAAAATGCTTAGCGTATATATATTTTCTCCAAGGTAAATATTTGCCATATTTAGTGTGAATGACCAGGTTAAAGCACACACGCGCACGCACGCACGCACGCACAAACACACCAACAAAATCCTGACCTTTGTAAGAGTCTCACAGAAAATATATTTAATATTTCTTTAAAATGTTTCATTGTGTCATGTTGATGTTCATGTCAAATCTTCTAGTAATAATTTGTCTCACATTGTTGTCTAGGCAACCACTGCCGGCAGCATCGTGTATGTCGTTGATGCAGCTAACCCTACGGACGTCGACCCTTTCTTCAACATCGAAGTCTTCAGTGTAGTCGTGAGTTAAAACTTAAACATCCACAACAACAACAACAACAACAACAACAACATTGTTTTGGACATTCATTTCACGTCTTAGCTGAGAGATTTGTTGTTGTATACAAGCAACAGTCTCAACCCTATCCCTCCTCCGTAAAAGATAGGCATCAAAATACCAAACGCCAGATGTTACCATTTTGACGTTTATCAGCATATTCCAATGTTGAGTTATTTGGCAATTCCCTGTTCTCATATAAAGACAAAGAGACTATTGTCTCGACTAAAAATAGTTTTCAGACAAAGACGAATAGAATTACGCGTTTCTTCTCACCATAACATATTAATGCATAAGTAAAACATGTAGAAATTTGTATTTGAGAAGGTCCTCGGCACGCCGGGTTTACATAAAGGTCGCTTAAACATTTCGTAGTTGAATTTAAACTTTTTGCGCAAAAGGAACCCACGACATTGAAATGAGTGAGAAGACGAAATAATTCCATATCTTAACTTAAGATAAATAAATAAAAATATATTCTTAGACCTTTACCATTTTAGGTTAAGTATTTTTTAATGATGCCAGGTAGTTTCAAGACAATGTTTTTATTATTTTGCCGTTTTAACAGGTAATGATGGTGTTGTTTGTTGTGCTCTAGAACTGTTAATTGCGGTTGTTATAAGTCTAATCGTTGTTTATGCATGAATGAAGTAATGCTGAACGTAAGAATGTTGCAAAGTTCATGTAAACGTGGTTGTGATAAGAATAATTGCTGGTAGAAGAGGATCCGTTTCAAAATGTGGCATTAGAATGGAGTACTATATATGACAGTTGTTATAAGCGTACTCGTCGTTCGTATAGTATACATTTTGTTCATTGTAGTGTTCGCGCCTCTGGGGATTCTTGTTGCTATTCTAGTATGTTTTGTCATCATATCCTCCGTTTGTAGAACGTCACAGCGGCAGACAGATCAGTGGCTCTGGATAATGTGGTCGTGATCGACACCCTCGGCCGGGTCAGACTGGTCAACCAACTGGACTACGAGGAGGGACACAGGGAGTTGCACATAGCACTGCAGGTTAAGGTAGGAATTATCAACTGGTATACGATGAGGGCCATAGAGCGCGGCTTAAGGTCGGTGTTCGAATGCATGAATGAATGAATGATGAATGAATGAATGAACAAAAGAATGATGGTGGCTGTATGGATGATAGATAGATAGAAGAATGGATGAATGAATGATGAATGAATGAATGGATAGATAGATAGATGGAAGAATGGATGAATCAATGATGGATGGATGAATGAACATGACAGGATTACTTATTTGTCTGGTTTGGGTATCATTATTTCGTTTTGATTTAAGCAAAGTTACTTTTTCGGATATATACTCGGATATTTATAGAAATTGATGCACCTCATTTTTCTCGAAAATCTCTATACACCGCTGAAGGATACTCTTATCGATTAATTGCATTATTTGGAACAGGCGTTTTTGGATAATTTATTCTTTAATAATCCGAACTTCATGGGTTGAATGTATGGAAATATTTTCCTTATTCTTAAGTTCCTTTTCTTAAAAGGACCATGGCAGTCCTCCATTGGCAACCGTGTCATATCTCCACGTCTTCATCAACGACAGCGACGACCAGACACCAAAGTTTCAGCATCAGTTCTACACAGCGTCTGTCATTGGCGAGAAACCAGTGGTGAGTTTGCACCTTTGTCAATACTTCACGGATGTACACTACTTTCCCAATCTCCCGTAAATACATTTTCAGCATATTTATAAGCTTATTTGTTCAGCTTATAACTCAGTTGGTTGCCTTTGACAAGAGTGGATCGCTGAAGATAAGGGCCTCCTTTCACAAAGCACTATGGTGATTGTAAGTCACTAAGGTAACCTTAGTGCAATGTTAAAGAATGTGAGTTAAGGTAAACCTTAGTAAAGGTTGCTTCGTGAAGGGAGCCCCGGGAACCACTTGCGACTGACTGACTGAGTATTGTTTTACGCCGCTTTTAGCAATATTCCAGCAACATCACGGCCGGGGACACCAGAAATGGGCTTCACACATTGTACCCATGTGGGGATTCGAACCCGGGTCTTTGGCGTGACGAGCCAACGCTTTAACCACTAGGCTACCCCACCGCCCCGGAACCACTTGCGATCTTAATACTACTAGTAAGAGGGGCGGCGGGGTAGCCTAGTGGTTATAGGCTTCGATTCGTTGGTTCGATTCCCAACATGGGTGCAATGTGTGAAATGCGGTTCATACATTGTACCCATCAGGGGAATCGAACCCGGGGCTTCGGCGTGACGGGTGAACGCTTTAATCACGAGGCTACCCACCGCCCCTTTAATAGGACAGAAACAAGTATGGTCATATCCATATGAAACACACACATAAGGCTTGTTGCATTGCCAGCAGAAGCAGTATATGTCAAAACTGTCAAAACTGCGTCAATCCGACATTTTGGTCATTTGTCACTTTCTAGCGCTTGGAAACATTTAATATTCTTCAGAAGGATCACGATGCCACATAGCGGTGATGTCCCTTCTAGGATTCCATACATCTGGCTTATATGCGTTGACTGAAATTTTGTTCAAAGGGGCGTTTTAACAGACTTATTAATAGTAGTCTGGAGTTTCAATGAGATAAACTTGGTGAGCCCTTTCTATTTAATTGTAGAACTCATATTTTCGGGAATCCATTCATATAGTTTCTACCGTTATTTTGCCTGTAACAATGGAATCTTGTTCGGCGGATAATCAAGAAATATTATCATGTTTTCTTATATAATTATCATTATCACTCGCCACTCTGGTTGTAGATTGAAGAGTGCCACCCAACTAACCCAACACTGTTCGCAGAGGACCAGGATCCGGTGAAGAAGTCCCTGGTTCGATACAACATCAAAGATGGTTTGGACTAAACTTACTACTTGTTCCTTACTTCTGATGACCCGTGAAGACATTGGTCTTCAGCAACCCTTGTCGTAAGAGGCGACTAACAGGATGGGTGGTCAGGCTTGCTGCCTTGGTTCATGCATGTCACTGTGTCCCAGTGTCGTAGATTGATGCTTTATGGAACGGACCCTGGTTGATGTCACAGGCCCTCGTGTCTTTGCGAGGATTAAAGATGTTCAGAAAGATTTAAAAATAATTGAGATGACCCCCGACTCAAAATGCTTCACAGTACAATACATTATGCCATTGTACTGTGAAGCATTTCGAGTAGGGGGTCATGTCAAACTATTTTTTTTTTTAAATCTTTAATCTTCGCCTAGACACGAGGGCCTGTGGTTGATGCGTGTCATCGTTTCCAATCTGCATAGATCGATGCTCATAATATCAGTCACTTTATTGTCTGGTCCAGATTCGATGATTTACAAACCGCCGTCAAATATCTGTTAGGGAAGTAGTATGCTTTTCTGAAAATATATGCATTGTTACGTAGTATTTTGACACCAGCTGAAATGTATTTAAAGTTCAAGCAGAGGTGACACACGTGGTCTCACCTTAGACAAGTGAGTTTGTTCATAAATTGCCACTGTTCACCCAGCAGTGAATGGGTTCCCGGTGGGATAAGTCATATGACTGTTAACCTTCTAGCGACTTCTAGGCAGCATGGTAACCTAGTGTAATAATGGGTTAGTGCGTGGAAACAGGCGCTTTATAAATAGCCATCATTAGTAGTGAATGGGTACCCGGTGGGATAAGTCATATGACTGTTAACCTTCTAGCGACTTCTAGGCAGCATGGTAACCTAGTGTAATAATGGGTTAGTGCGTGGAAACAGGCGCTTTATAAATAGCCATCATTAGTAGTGAATGGGTACCCGGTGGGATAAGTCATATGACTGTTAACCTTCTAGCGACTTCTAGGCAGCATGGTAACCTAGTGTAATAATGGGTTAGTGCGTGGAAACAGGCGCTTTATAAATAGCCATTATTAGTAGTAAGTATTTCCATACTGTTCAGACAGTACCAGACTGCTTGGAAAGCAACATTTGTTTCAGGAATGCCAGTTCAGCCATGGCACTGGAACAATTTCTTCTTCCTGAACGCGGAGACCGGGGAGCTGTGTCAGAGGGAGACGATTCCCCGGGCTGTGTACAAGAGAGGCGACCAAACTGTCCGGGAGGGGTTTCAGGGATTTTATAACTATACCCTCATGGTGGAGGTAAATAAGTCGTTATAGCGAGTATGTGTGAGAGAGTGAATTACTAGCTGAGTGACTGAGTATTGTTTTACACCGCTTTGGGCAAAACTCTAGCAATATTGTAGCGGGGAATGTTCAGTGACCAATGATTGTCGTAAGATCTTAATTGTGGCCCTCTGTCTGCGCGACATTGTGGTCGATCAACCACCACCCGGTGTTCACAGTCTGTGGCCTGGCTCTTTGCATGCTACCCGACAAGATCCGGATCTTCAGTAACCCATGCTTGTCATAAGAGGCGACTAACGGGATAGGGTGGTCAGGATCGCTGACTTGGTTGACACATGTCAATGTATCCCAATTGCGTAGATTGATGCTCATACTGTTGATCACTGGATTGTCAGGCCCAGACTCGATTATTAAGAGAATGCTGCCAAATAGCTGAAATATTGCTGAGTGCGGCGTTAAGCAAGAAACAACAAGCCAACCTATTCAGCTGATGTAAGTCTAATAATGCATGTCATTACTTGAGCTACTGTAAGTTGATGATAGAGCAAACATGATACTCATAACGATCCTTGTTGCAATAGCTATCGCAGTTGTAATTATACTATTTCTTGTTGCTATAGCTAAAGTTAGTATAATAATTATTGTCGTTACCAGAGCTATCAGGTTGACGACAGAAGTAAGTCCGACATCGCCACCCTCCACGTGAACGTCATCGATCAGAACATCCACGGACCCACGTTCAGAAGACGCCGCTACAAGGCTGAGATAAACGAGTTTCCTGCCGTCAGAGCCGGTACCGTCGTCACCACCGTCGCAGCCGAGGACGAAGACTATGTATGTAGAATCCGTGAGGACATACGAAATAATGAAAGTTTTTAAAAAAATGTAAATTTACGTGTTTGCACTGTAAAAGATATGGTTTCAAGTCGCACCGGAGGTCGAAGACTATGTGGTAGAATCCAGGAGGACATACGAATAATGAATTTATTTTCTTTTAAATGTAATCTTACGTGTGTACTGTAAAAGAAATGGTTTCAAGGCGCAGTCGAGGACGAAGTCTAGGTTTGTAGAATCCATGAGGACATACGAATAATGAATTATTTTTTTAAAAATGTAATCTTACGTGTGTACTGTAAAAGAAATGGTTTCAAGGCGCAGTCGAGGACGAAGACTATGTTTATAGAATCCATGAGGACATATGAATAATGAATTATTTTCTTTTTAAATGTAATCTTACGTGTGTACTGTAAAAGAAATGGTTTCAAGGCGCAGTCGAGGACGAAGACTATGTTTGTAGAATCCATGAGGACATATGAATAATGAATTATTTTCTTTTTAAATGTAATCTTACGTGTGTACTGTAAAAGAAATGGTTTCAAGGCGCAGTCGAGGACGAAGACTATGGTTTTGCCAAACAATGTAAACTTACGTGTGTGCTTTAAAAGAAACTTTGAAATGTTATTACAATATTTTACACCTGTCAATGATTTATTCTATTTTTTTGTTTAATTTTGCCTATAAATATCTATGTTAATAGTTAAAACATAGGACGTAAGCGTCCTACTGATCAAAGCGGTCTATGGACCTGATGCCAATAAACTGATAATCACCATATAGCAATACAAACTGCACATTTACTGTCAAACTATATTTAATCAATAAAATGCAATGCATAAATTAAAACAGATATTCACGAAATTCGAAATCTAATTAATTTTTGTGGTTTTATACATGTAAATATACACTCAAATATTAAAATACACAACTTTAACAGAGAAATGTAAATGTAAGTATGTCACGTTTTCAGGGGCAGAACAGTCTGTTTGAATACGAGCTCCTCACGAACCCCGCTGGGGCGTTCTGGGTCGACCCCAGCAGTGGAGAGATAAAGGTCACCCGTCCTCGCGCGATAGACAGAGAGAAAAATGAGACTATCACTTTTAAGGTAAATATCTTCATTGTTTATACATTGATCATGTGCAGCGAGAGTTGTTGTGAAGACATTTTTTTAGTATACTTTTAAATAAATTATATATTTTTCATTTTCTGAATTTTTGTTCGTAACGGAAGTCTGAGTTTCACGAACGTCCTTTAAAGAAATAGAAACTGTCGGGACCAAGAAAGCATACAATTGAAAATCTACACTTGACATTACTCATAATTGTGAACTGTGAACTTGAGATCCCATATTCCTTTGGACCATGCCACCTGTTGTGAGACAGGGCGGTGGGATAGCCTTGTGGTTGATGTGTTCGTTCGCCACGCTGAAGACCCGAGTTCAATTCCCACATTAGTACAATGTATGAAGCCAATTTCTGGCGTCCGTTGTGATATTGTTGGAATATTGCTAAAAGCAGCGTAGAACCATACTCACTCATTGTTGTGCCATACTTGCTGATATGATGCATGTAATATCACGTTCATTGTCATACTCAGGGACCGTGGGGTAGCCTAGTGGGTTAAGCGTTCACTCACCACGCTGAAGACCCGGGTTCGATTCCTACATGGGTACAATGTGTGGAACCCATTTCTGGTGTCCTGCGCCGTGATATTGCTGGAATATTGCCAAAAGCGGCGTAAACTAAAATCACTCACTCAAAAAGAAGTCAAACTATTGACACATTCAAATTTTGTAATTTCTGATAATGTAAATTATGTTAAGAGCTTGTTATTCTCGTATCAAATACGTCATATCCTGTTCCTTTCATGATTAGACACCGCCTCCGTGGTGTAGTGGTTAGAGCGTCCGCCCGGAGAGCGGAAGGTCGCGGGTTCGACCCCCGACCGCGTCACACCAAAAGACATTAAAATATGGTACTTGTTGGTCCCTACCTGGCGCTCGGCATTAATGGGTACAAGGACTGGTCGCCTCGGAGTCAGTATACTGTGTCTGAATGGGGTATTCATGCTTCACTTCGGCATGGTATCTCAGTGGGCTAGCACTATAAAACCAGCTTCAGTCTGGGCTAGTACAAGCAGCCGCACATACACATACACACGTGTGCACGTCGTCATGTGAGCGAAATATTCTCAAGCACGACGTAAAACCCAATTTCACCTCACCTCACCTCTTGATTAGACACCAATAGATTTGACTGTATATTATGGCCCGGTAGTCAGTATGAATGTTTTATGTACAGGTAGGTGAGTGACAACGTGGGCAACAAGAAACCTAACTATGGCCACAATCGTTTGAAAATCTTTTATTGTAAATTTTCAATCAATTTGTAAGATTTCTATGTTCACTTTTGAATTGAAGGTTGCAAACTATAAAAGCAAAATCGTTTTTACTACAGAATTAAAAAAAACCCATTTCGATTAAAAGCGATACATGGTATATCATGTTATTTCAGGGGCGGTGGGGTAGCCTAGTATTCACAGCGTTTGTTCGTCATGCCAAAAACCCGGGTTCGATTCCCCACATACATGGGTGGATGTGTGAAGCCCTTTCCGGTGTCCCCGCCGTGATATTGCTGGAATATTGTTAAAAGCGGCGAAAAACCATACTCACTCATTCATGTTATTTCATTGTGATTATTCATGTATATGCACATTTAATGATATACGCACTGTTTATTGTGGCCTTACTCCAATGGATGAAACAAACATGTTGTTTACCTAGGTTAGGGCTACAGAGATCTCAACCAACGAGAAAAGGTTCAGTGACCCGGATGCAGTCGTTGAGGTCACTGTCCTTGATGACAACGACAACAAACCTAAATTTAGGAGACCATCGTACCGATTTGATGTGAAGGACAGTCTGACTGTTGGAACAACTATTCACAAGGTGAGCGCCAACACTCTATATAGCGGTATGTTAGTATAGTACATATCTACAGGAGTTATGCCCCTTAGTCTTGTCAGGTCATGGTGCCATGGGTTCAGTCCCATCTTTGGGTCGATTATGATCTTTGATGTGTTAGCACCACTCCTGTGCTCTTTAGCTCGGAGAGCGGAAGGTAGCAGTTCGATCCCCGGCCACGTCACACCAAAAGACGTTAAAATATGGTACTTGTTGGTCCCTGCCTGGCACTCGGCATTAATGGCTGAACCAAACTTTTTTTAAGTATAATGTGTCTGAGTGGGGTATTCATGCTTCACTTCGGCATGGTATCTCAGTGGGCTAGCACTATAAAACCAGCTTAGTCTGGGCTAGTACAAGCAGCCACACATACATACACCCGCATGCACGTCGTCATATGAGCGAAATATTCACAAGTACCACGTTAAACCCCATTTCACCTCACCTCACTTCCTTCCATTTTACACTGAAACCATCTGATACAAATTATTTCAAAAATTGAAATAAATGTCCAACCAAAGTAACTCGATCCTTTATTGACATGCGAGTGAACGAACACAATTTTATGACGCACCAAGCAAGATATGATAAACGTTTAATTGACTGAGGGCCAAGCAAAGCTGTGGTTGTTTTAAGCAGGGGTGTAATGGGATAACACATGGCCATCCAAACTCATGCTCCATTGAGTCCACCTATTTCTCATCTTATGTTATCGTTTTTGGTAGCACATTGTACCTTTATGTTTTGTACACGACCATGTTGCAACTTCCGAGGACACCTTGCTTTCTCGGTTTTTGACCAGGTCTATAATCAAATCCGATTTTTCAAAATGACGCGATAGCACTTTAAACACTTAGCTTTTCACTCTACCTTACACGAGATGGGTACTCGATACGTAGTCCTCTCTGAACTGACGTATATTTCAATACTACGTCTTCACTCTATATCACAGGTTGGGGAGAGGATTCGCGCCGATGACCCTGACCTTGGTGAAAACGGCACCATCCATTTCTCCATCATGGGTGTCCAGACAAAGGGAGGGTCGTTCTCCATGAAGGATTTACAAAGATTTAAGATAGACAGGAACACAGGGGTCATCAAACTGGCGGACAACCTTCGGGACCTGAGACGGAAGCGGAAGTTTCCCCAGTACAACGTCATGGTGAAGGCTGAGGACCAGTCCCGTCGACCCAGGGACAGACTGTAAGTAGGCAACGTCTAACGTTGCAGCAATGGGAGCGATCCACAGAGCGTTCGTCGCACTACGTCATTCGTAAGCCTACAATAAACATACTTACGATAGGTCTTAACTCTACGAACGGTTTGTGGATAGGGATGATATTACTTATACACTCCGTCAGTCGTAAGCCTATGGTAAGCTATATAGTTACGATACGTCGTAACTCTACGAACGGTTTGTGGATAGGGATACTTTTACTTTTGCACTACGTCATTCGTAAGGCTATGATATATTGAAACTTTACGACAGGTCGTAGTACTACGAACTCTTCGTGGATCATTATTTGTTGTAATATATGTTATATTTCGTAGTCCCGATTCCAGTTCTTTTGTTAGGTTGAATCCCATCCGGAATTCGAACCCACACAGTCAGAGTCAGGCACCTAATCGCCATCACACAGTGTAGGTGTTCCAGTAGACACATATAGCTGCAAATCATACGATACATTGGGGCTCTGCACCCTATTCATGGGTGGGCTCTAAAGTTACTTCCCTGACTGAAAATTTGATTATTTTGTGAATGGCATTAAATGATGAAGACGAGGATGTTTCTAGTTGATGATGTTTCCCTGTCAGGTCCTCCGTTGTCCGCGTGGTCGTTCAAGTCACCGAGGCCAATGACTTCCCGCCATACTTTGAAAGAGCCAAACAAGTGTCTTACATCAGCGAAGCGGCCACCATTGGTTCTCTGATTACCAAACTAAAGGTAGGTTCAAGATAACGTGAGTTTGCCCCGGTATGGCCGCTGATAACTCTATACCAAACTATCATAGACTCTGGTCTTTCACGTGGACCTTCACAACGTTGATCACCTTGCCAATTCCATATAGCGCCTGAGTACGGGTTTATCGTTGCCACTGGCGATATTCTAACAGTATCAGGGCAGAAATGGCTTCACGCGTACCCATATGTGGAATCGAACCAGGCCATCTCCGCGAGCGAGCGCTTACACCACAAGACTACCCCAGTGTCTGAGATGTTCAGTGCATGCTGATTGATTGAGGGTATTGATAAGGGATGTTCGTGTACAGTGGCGTTTTGTTTGACATCATTCGCCACTGAAGTTGTGAGTTTCTTTATTTTCTTTCAAGATTAAGTTGGGGAGACGCCCCAAAACACCGAAAGTCTGTTTGAATCCCCAAATGAGTACAATGTATGAAGCCTTATCCGGTGTTCCCTGTCTAGATATTTCTTGAGAATTCCTAAACGCGGTGTAAGATATCACACTCTCATTCGAAGTTTTATTAAGACTGCGGTAAGAATGATTCCATTCTATTACCACCTGCTACATTACAGAGTATGTTAATATTGCCACAATATTCCAGTTATATTAACCCAGGAAGAAGGCTCGAAGCAATGCAGGTATCTAACGTTTACCACTTTGGTCCTGATAAACCTAGAAACATTAGTAGGGCGATCCAGGATTCGAACCATCAGTCTCAGGATGCTGTCTTGTCCAAGGGACGCAACTCTGACAGCGGATTGCGGCGCCTTGGACGAGATGGCGACCCGTGCCCCTTCTATCATATGATGAATAATAACCACTTTTATTTAATGCCGAGGAGTATGTTTATACATGTAAAGTATAAACTATCGGATTACATACCTGAAGCTAAGTTATTGAATTATAGGCACGGGATGCGGACGGGGATGAAGATGTTTTCCTAAAGTTCAGGATCGTTTCAGGAAACGAAGAAGGATCCTTCAGGGTATCAGACAAGTAAGTACCTTTAATTTCGAATAAACCTGGTTTAATACCTGAAATTCGAAAGCATCAAGGAATATGTGTCTGAAGTATTTTGCAGTTCCTGGATTTTGTGTTGTGTTGTCCGCCTTCTTGGATTTAGAGAAACAGTCTCGTTCACATTTTTGGTACATTTTGAGTTATGATGCAGACAAACCACTGATAATTGCTTTTTTGTTTTCTGACAGAGGCTATATGTTTACAAACCGGCCACTGGACAGAGAACTCCGTTCGTCGTACACACTTACAATAGAGGCATCAGACGGCGTACATGTAAGTTTGGGTGGAATCCTTACTGATAATCCACGAATGTGGGCATTGATACTTAGTTTTCCTTAGTACTCTGTATACTAAGTCGTCTCACATATTTCTTCATTTTAAACATTAAAGTCACCCTTAATGTTCCTTCGTGTGCAATAATGATGTGAACGAAAATATTTACAATCTTTAGTATCGAAGTAGAGATTATAATATAGTTTCAAACTGCCATGAATGCTTTTCTGCTGACGTCCAATACAGTTTTACTTGTAGCCCAGTTTCTGATAAATACCATGATGGCGTTGTCAAACAATGATGGTGCCGTTTAAAAAAGAACAATAGCTTCTCCTTAGCTCACCTGATCAGGCTGATTAACGTTCTTTTTTAATTTCACGGATCCCTGTTACCGAGACTGTAAGACACTAGATATATTTTTCGGGACCATGGTTATGTTAGAACCAGAAACTGCCTGTCAAAAGAAACTATACACCTGCGCATATGTTCTATGGTAGCCTTGCTTCAAGGCTGTACAATGCTGAGCCCATGGATGTATAGTAATTCTATCCTTCGAAGAGGCAAGTCTAGATAAGTGGACAGTAAGGACCTCAGTCTGTGATTTATCTTTTTGTTTTAGAAATTATCATTTAAACTATCAATTCTTACCTTAGAGACTTGTGCAAGTCTAGTTCTATAGTGAAGGCGAAAGAACCAAACAAGAATTGGTTATTCCATAGTGATGCAATTGATACTGATATCACAGTTTTCAAGTGAAAACATTCCTTTTCCTTGGCAGTTTAATAGTGTTAAATGTTAATATCCTATCACATTTTGATGTTTCTACTTCATAATAAAGCATTGAAGTTTTGATATTTAATTTGATAACGTTTTCAGACGGCGGAAGCGATATTAACTGTCCATGTGCGCGACACAAACGACCATGCCCCAGTTTTCAGCCAAACAACATACGACTTTACCCTGTCAGAAGACGTATCAGCCAATCACATCATAGGGAAAGTTGATGTGACGGATAAAGACGAAGGGCCCAACGGGAAACTGGTGCTTTCATTGTCTGGGGATCATTCTGATTTATTTGGAATTAAAAAGGTACATTTTGTCTCACAAGTGATTTGATGATTATATAATATTATCATGTATTACGTTGAGTTCGTTATACCCATAAATCAGACCTCCATATACTTTCGAATTACCAGATCTATTCTATAACTATTGGTTTAATTGTTTTAGGTTTTATATTATAAATATATCACATCCCTGACTTTGATAATGTCATAATGTCTAATTCATAACGCAACCGTCAGTGAAAAGAACATTCTTTATTGTCTGCTGGTAAAATGACTTCTTGGGGTAAAGAAAAATAGTAATGAATGGATCACTGGACAATGTAACCATAATAAGTTTTAATTATATTAAAAAAACACGAAAACAGCATTGTTCTGTTTACTTTTCGGGACAGAATGCCTCCCCAGGACCACAAGAAGCGACTTATTAGATAACGATGAATGGCTTTGCTGGTTTTCTAACGTTATGCCATTGTACGTGGACCGGTGCTTATATTATCAACCACTTGTTTATATGACCAAATCTCGATCGCGGTGTAAAACAACATTCACTCACTTACTCTGTCTGTATCCCAGAACGGCTACATCTACCTGCGTCGACGTTCTGCTGTCCTGGATCGTGAGACCACTGACCGGATCAGCATACAGGTCAGGGCGGAGGATCTCGGACAACCCCCGGAACAGGTCAGTCGTTATATCTATGGCATATCGCATCTGGGCACAACGATATATATATCGATGCATTGCGATTATTGTTGGATAGCACTTAGTCAATATCAAGTAAATGTCAATATTAATTGTTGAATGGATTCAAGGCAATTCGATTTTATTTGATATACGCTGAAAATAGATAATTATTACAAAAGTATTTCAAAAGTGAGTGAGTTGGGTTGAACGCCGGTTCAAACAGTGGACCTTTGGACTTCATGGTTTATGTCCACTCCCCACCTCGAAAATCCTGGATCCGCCCTTGATACCGGGTGTTAGTGAAAAGGTGGGCGAATCCTGCACCACCCGTCAAGCTACATGCTACACAAAACAAAGAAACGATTTCTGTGGAACTACATTTTTAGAAAATGACGTCATGCGTTTCCAGGGTGACGCCGCTATACGGATACGTCTTCTTGACGTCAATGACAACAGACCTGAGTTCACCAAGACTCGGTACGTCACGGAAATAACAGAGGAATCGCCTGGTCGTAACAGTCGTCGCAAACTTGTGCAGCTGGTGAGTTGACGGCATCATAGATCTGATAAAAAACGTGATACATGTAGATTTAGGCTTCCAAATGAGTGAGTGAATTTAATTTTACGCCGTACTCAGCAGTTTTCCAGCTATATGGCGGCGGTTCGAAAATAATCGAGCCTGGACCAGACAATCCAGTGATCAACAGCATGAGCATCGATCTACGTTCACTGATGAGAAAAGTACGATGTAAGTCTTCAAATGTTCATGACTTGACTAATTGATATTCAATAACAATGGACTGCCATCAGTGAGGTTTCTCACAGTATTGTTGACATTTCATACGTTGGATGGGTGGGTGGGTCCCCTTCAGTTCTGGTTGGGTGGGTCCCCTTCAGTTTTGTTGAATACCCGAAGAAATTAGATTTATTCTGTTGTTTCGCCAAAGGTTCATGATTAACACTATTTAGCCACCCAAGGCAGATAATCCGTAATTGCCCGTTAGTTAATCCCTAATTTGTGTACAGCGTAAAACTACAACAACTAAACAACGCCATGAAGGAGCCAAACGTACACCCACGAGAATGATCGAGAATGACACGAGAATGACACATCGTGTCTCATCAGATTACTACCTCCCACTCTGTTTCCCCAAACCCATATTTACATATGGTTTTAAAAGTCCAATCATAAGTTTACAACAACTTGGACATTTTAACGCTATCCACGTCATCTTATCACGCTAACGTGACTCCAGTTCCGGGCTGGTATCTCACGACAAGCCCATCACGCCAACGTTAAACGATGTGGGATCACACCATCCCAATGTTTTGTCCGATTAGTACTCGAAACTTACATTTAATAGACACAATCTGTGACAGGAAGACGAGGTGTTGGCTGAAGACGCTGACAAGGACGTCGATAACCGCAACATCGTCTACAGCCTACGCGGTGCTGGGACTGACGTGTTTATGATTGACAAGAGGACCGGGCGTGTGTATATCAGAGAGACAAGGCTTGTTGATTGCGAGGTGAAGTGTGATTACAAACTAAAGGTGAGGCTTGCTTTAAAGGTGGGTCGTGTTTATCATCATAATAATCATCATCATCATCAAAATATAATTAATGTTATTAAATTGCTGTTGTTCAAAACAGAGATCTACCCTTTGGGGCATGGTTTGCGAGTACGGGGTCAATTAGTCTATTGCGTTGTATCTTCTCAGTTGATCCCGACTTTCACCCAGTCTTAAGTTCGAATCCCTGATGCGTCCATATTGGTGGCAGTATGTCAGCTTCGACTACAACTGACTTTGTTGTGGTGAATACTTTTGTTTTCTTGTCGCTTAACGACGCACTCAGTAACATTCCAGGTGTATGGTGGCGGTCTGTAAATAATAAAGACTGGACCAGACAATCCAGTGATCATGATAACCGTTGGATACGATGACATGAAATCAACTAGTCGCAGAGTCAGACCACTAGATTCAAACATTGTTTGAAACCTATCTATTGACTTCCTGCCCGCTATTCTGGTTGTATCGCCTCAATACCGATTGCATTTCGGGGTAGCAACGAGTACAATTTTACAACGTCAGTTCATGGTCTGTAGGCAGACGCTCAATCCTCTTGCGGACTAGTAATATATCATGAGTGTTTGTTTATTGTCAGTAATCAACAAGATATCAATATCAGGTTGTGTTATAACTTTACGAGCAGGGGGATGACATGTTTGTTGTTTAACGCCATAATTCTGACAATATGTGACGGTGATATGTAAATAATCGAGTCTGAACCTGACAATCCAGTGATTGACACATGAGCATCGATCTATGCAATTGGGATAGGATGACATGCATAAACAATGCATGTAATATACAAAGTGGGTGAGTGAGTTTAGTTTTACGCTGCACTCACAATATCCCAGCTATAAGGCCGACGTCTGTAAATAATAGAGTCTGGACCAGACAATCCAGCGATCAACAGCATGAGCATCGATCTACACAATTGGGATATGATGACATGTGTCAACCAAGTCAGCGAGCCTGACCACCCGATCCCGTAAGTCGCCTCTTACGACAAGCATTGGTTGCTGAATTCTTACCCGGATCTTCACACATGCGTTGCGGTTTGCTATTCAGCAATAGAGGTGCACTTACGATGGGTTCGAACCCCTTTTCGCCTCGATTATGTTTCTAAGTTTGCCATGAGTAACCTGTGCTCATGGGTTTCAAAGAATGGGTAAACGTCTTAGACCAAACCCCATCAAGCTGACGTACGTGATGCAACTTAAATCTGTTCACATTCATTCACTAACAACATACTTGTACTTCATACTACGACGAGAGCAAGAACGGCTCGTTTATGTATCACCATAGTGAGTGAGTTTGTGGGTAGTCAAAAAGCGTTGTGTAGAACATACGATTTTCTCAAGGTAAGAGCTTATAACTTCTTTATGGATCGTTTTCGCTGTTATCGTACCACGGATAACTGGAATATTTTACTTAGATCCCTTCAACTTTGACACAGTGGTGTTTCACTGTAATTTCATTTACTTCGATTTCACCAGTATTGGAGTGAGTGAGTGAGTTTAGTTTTACGCCGCACTCAGCAATATTCCAGCTATATGGCGGCGGTCTGTAGATAATCAAATCATCAGCAGTATGAGCATCGCTCTACGCAATAGGGCAGGGGTGGAAATAACCCATTGCCCGACGTCCGAGTCCAGTGTTTTTTCTGTCGGGCAAGCAAATTTGTATATCACACTGTACCGGTGTCCAGTTGACTTTCCAATGTTAATTATGTTGTTTATTTTAAAAAAATCAACAAGAAAACGGTCGGTATAGTGGACAAATAATCAGGGCAAGTGATTTTACGTGGGCCACTGTTCCGGAGTACACTAGCAATTTTTAAGTTATTTCCACCCCTGTAGGGATACAATGACATCCAGCATTGGTCTGACAAACTGGTCACCTAGATGATGGATGGAAGCCAGGGGTGTTCTCCCGAACTTTGGTTCAACCCCCGATCATGTGTTTCCAGCACCTTCATCTACTGGACTACATAATAAATGAAAACATTGCAAATGGAAAGATGTGGCATTATTTGTAAATCTTGACTCACAATCTGTGGATGTCCAGGTCGTGGCCCGGGATCAAGGGGGGAAGGGTCTAGAGGGAACAGCTGATCTGATCATCAAGATCAACGACATCAACGACAACAAACCCACCTTGACGAAGAACTACACCTTCCGCGCCTCACCACGGGCCAAGGTGGGGTCTGTGATCGGGGACATCGACGCCGTGGACGATGACGTTGAAGCCCGCAACAGACGCGTTATGTACGTGCTCAAGGACGGCGGCTACGGCAAGTTCAGCATCGACTTCGACTCAGGTACGTCATTCATTTGATATAAAGACGAACGGAGTCTTTCCTTTCAAATGAGTTGAAAGGTCAAGGTCATTATGTTGATATATATTTTTTAACCTTGCAGTTCGTGGACTTTTCTGGACTACTTCTTGACCTTTCACCAACTGATATTGTTTTATATAATGTTTGATTGCAAAACCTGCAGGAATTCTACCATATCTTGGAAGACTAGACACAATTTTGATAACTTTGTCTGCTTGCGAGAAGACATTCTTGAAAATTCGACAGATGTGAGAGAAACACCTGAACTTGATAATAATGAGAAACGAGCTTTGAAGTACGTGCATAAAAAACAAATCCCAAAACGGAGTACATGACTAAATAAAAAGTGGAAATTGTGGTTCGAATCCCGCTGATTATGGTTCTTGATTGGTCAACATACCCGTGTTTGTGGGTTTCACCAGGATGAGACATGCATTACTCCAGGCTTTACTCCCACATTCACAGACACAGCGTAATTTAACTTGAAAACTGCTAAAATGGCGTTAAACGCAAACCACTTCACTCCCTAACTCGGGGCAGTGGCTGCAGTGGTGAAGGACTATTGGACACCGATAACGACTAGGTGGTTGCCGCTGTTGAAGCCGTTCAGGTGAACCAAGATAAGACAATTCGGAACAGTTGCACTGAGGTCAAAGGAGATTATATTGAAAGCATTTCTTAACAATTTTGGTTCTTCTGTGTGAGGGGTGTCCTCCCACCCCTACACTTGAGTAGAGGGATTAATTACCCTCACCCCACAGCAATAATGGAACAGCTTAATTAGCCAACTCAGTGCTCAGCAGAGTAGAGAGATTTTTAAACGGAGATTTAACCTTTTATTCCGTACTGAAGAGGCCACAGGCCTAGAGCACATAAAACATACATACATTTATATCGCCCGAGTAGTAACTTTTACATATCTTCAAATATTATTATTTTTCTTTCTTTGCAATGTTGCATAGAATATAAAAATTGATAAATTCTGAAGTATTTCAAATGTTTGTGCTTGTTAGTAATGATATAAATTTAATAACGTTTGGATATCTATTAAAATGATTTGGTAAATATTTTCTTCTAAGATCTGAGTACAGTGGACAAACAAGAAGGAAATGGTGTCATCCTCGACAGTATTTAAATCACATAGTTGGCATAGTCTGTCTTGTAGATTAATATTGACAGTATAAATATCCTTAAGTCGATTAATATTGAGTCCAGTGACATGATAAAATTAGGGCAGCATTTGCGCTAACATTTTGGTCATATTCAAACCATGCGTTACCAAAACCAGTTTGAGTCAGTGACATGATAAAAGTAGGGCAGCAGCTAACGTTTTGGTCATACCATGCGTTACCAAAAACCAGTTTTAAACAGCAATGTTTTTAGATTCGTTACCCAATTATTTTTTCCATTATTGTCATAAACTATCATCCTATTGTAACACATTTTGGGAAATCTATGTGCAGGCATGTTCAGCAAGTTTAACCAGTATTTGATAGCCTTAACTTGAGAAAATATGTGCATCGGGAATCTACCACATTCACCATAAACCATAACACTAATTGTACTTATTTATTAATTTTCCTACTCAAACCATGCATTCGTGAAAGATTCCATAGTTTATTTCAATTTACCGAGTCAAATGGTTTCGAGAAATCTATAAAAAGAGCATAAAATTTACCACCTATTTGTAATTGACATATATGAATTATTTTCATGACATGTTATTCATGACAACAAATTATATACATACATATTAAATGTGGTTGTGTTCCCTTTCTCAATTGAAATACTTAACTGGGTTCTTCCATTTCTCTATCAATAATAATAATAAAAGTCCATTTATATTGCGGGTTTATCCATGCACATTGCATGCTCAAAGCGCTGACATATTACCCCTGGTCAACGAGTACAGAACACTCCATGTGGAGAATACAACCGGTAGCCTGTCAGGCGCTCAAGGTTCAAATTCAGACTACCATCGTATCATACCAGGTAACAGCTTTCTCGATTGCTGTGCATTAGACCGTAAATGTTGTTGTTTTAAGCTGTCTGAAGAATGGGAGATAACCATGTGAGGTCATGAACTCTACGATTTACCGTAACCTTATCCCACGTGGATACTACACTGTATATGAGTATTATGGACCCCTAGTCTGTCGTACAGACCCTGAAGTAAATATATCCAAGAAAGCCCACGCAAGTCTAGAAAATGTGGCAAGTCTAGATTTCCTCAGAAATGAAGAAAGTCTCAGGGCTACTTTTCATTATATATATTTTTTTTTACTATGAACTTTTTTTCAGTAAAATATGTTAATTTCAGAGACTAGTTGTTAGTCTAATGGACCCCCAAGATAATTACTGAAGCTTATCACCTGAGGATACGTAAGGGCCTTGTGTAGGTAAACCTTGACTGGCTACGTGACATGTATTGTTGCGAGGAGTGAGTGAGTTTGGTTTAACACCTCTTTTAGCAATATTCCAACAATATCACGGCGGCAAACACCAGAAACGGACTTCACAAAATGTACCCATGTGGGAATCGAACCCGGGTTTTCGGCGTTATGAGCAACGCTTTAACCATTAGGCCACCCCGCCGCCCTTATTGTTGCGTTGTTAGTGTAAGTTATTAGCTGACGTCATGTCATTTATTTAGCGTCGATCATGCAATAAATTGACGTATGACTCGTTCGTAAATACGATCACTTGACCTACATTTCCATACATAAAAAGGATAATATATAAATACTACTCAGTCGAAGTAAAAACAACCACCAGACTTCTTTTATATAACTTTATATATTATGACAGATTAATTCAAGTCGTATGAAATAATCGGGTGGTGTTTAGAGTAGCATTTAACAACACACAGTTCGACATTAATGATAATCATTCATTCTTGACGCTATGGATTTCAGTAAATAACATTCATTGTTGAGAAGTGAATGGTAAGGTTTCCGCGGTGTTGGTTATCATCTAAAAGTACGGATGCCATTCTTGACTTAATGTCTCTGAGATAACAGACATTTAGAATAATTCTTTAACTTTGGCAATACAATACAATAACATTGTGGTACTCATGTACATGTACATGGACTTGACCGACCCGGGACTGTGGGGTAGCCTTGTGGTTAACGCGTTCGCTCGTCACGTCGAAGACCCGGGTTCGATTCCCGACATGGGTACAAATCCCGTTTCTGGTCTTCACCGCAGTAATATTGCTAGAATATTGCTACAAGCGGCGTAAAACTAAACTCACTCACTCTTTTTCCTCCACCCCAGGACGACTGATTCTTAGTGGACTCTCTGACCCGCGAGCCACAGATGGAGACGTACAACCTGACGGTGGAGGTGATGGACACGGGTGTGCCACGCCTTACCACCACGGGGGTGGTGAGGGTGCAGGTGCCCGTGAACAGGAAGCCTACGCTAGGGGGAGCGCAGAAGGTGACGGTCAGCGAGGACGCGCGTGTTGGGGTGAAGGTCGGTCGGGTTAACGTCACGGACACGGATTCCCTGACATACAGACTGGATCAAACTGATTCAGGTGTGGTGTTGGTTGTTTTGATCATGCCACACGTGGGGTAAAAATTTAGTTTTCATCATATAAATCTGATCGTGGAATTTTCCTTATAGCACAAATATGTTTCCATGTTATGAGCTGCCAGTCAAAAGAAACATACTCTTTAGGTTGAATTCGGCCCAAAATTTGCAAAAGTTATCAAAAATGTACTTGCCTGAAAATATCCGCCGAAACGCTGCAAAAATTACGATAAAAACCCAACAATTGTCATACCTTTATACATCACACTAAAATCTTGTTTATTGCATTGCTAGCAGCCATAGTACAGTTTCAGTATTTTCTTTTGCCTCGCAATTTCATACAAAAGGTTATCGAAATAGTTCATATCACTTAAACCCTAAGGGCTTATATATATTGAACAAACGTACACATTCCTATAAACACAAGTCATTATTGTTCAATAAAGATTTTTTATAGATTCGTGTTTTATATTAATCGCTGCTACACGTAAATGATTCTCAAATAAAACATCTTCCTTCGTGTTTTATTTTAATGGCTGCTACACGGAAATGATTCTCAAATACAATATCTTCCTGTTCCTAGTTCCATTCCGGGTCAGCTCAGATGGTACCATCAGTACTACTCGGAGGCTGGATAGGGAGGATAGTGAGGGGTATACACTGAAGATAGTTGTCACAGATAGAGGCTACCCAGTCAACACCGTCACCGCCACCGTCGACGTTGTTGTACAGGACGTCAATGACAACGCCCCAGCGTTCACGTTTACCAGATACTCGGGAGAAATTGTGGAAGATGACACCAGCCCCAAGAGGAATCAGATTGTGAAAATGGTAAAAATATTAAAATATGTAGGTAAAATGTTTTTCTTGGTAGGTATGTAGCTCTAAGTCATTGCATTTCAAGTTGAAGGTATCACATTGTGAAAATGGTGAAATATTAAAATATTTAGGTAAAATGTTTTTTCTTGATGGGTAAGTAGCTCTAAGTCATTGAATTTCAAGTCGAAGGTATCAAATTGTGAAAATGGTAAAAATATTTAAATATTTAGGTAAAAAAATTTTTGGGGATGGGTATGTAGCTCTAAGTCATTACATTTTCAAGTTGAAGGTATCAAATTGTGAAAATGGTAAAAATATTAAAAAATTTAGGCAAAATGTTTTTCTTGGTGGGTATATATAGCTCTAAGTCATTGCATTTCAAGTCGAAGGTATCAAATTGTGAAAATGGTAAAATAATAAAATATTTAGGTAAAATGTTTTTCTTGGTGGGTATGTAGCTCTAAGTCATTGAATTTCAAGTCGAAGGTATCAAATTGTGAAAATGGTAAAAATATTGAAATATTTAGGTAAAAAAATTTTTGGGGATGGGTATGTAGCTCTAAGTCATTACATTTTCAAGTTGAAGGTATCAAATTGTGAAAATGGTAAAAATATTAAAAAATTTAGGCAAAATGTTTTTCTTGGTGGGTATGTAGCTCTAAGTCATTGCATTTCAAGTCGAAGGTATCAAATTGTGAAAATGGTAAAAATATTAAAATATTTAGGTAAAATGTTTTTCTTGGTGGGTATGTAGCTCTAAGTCATTGAATTTCAAGTCGAAGGTATCAAATTGTGAAAATGGTAAAAATATTAAAATATTTATGTAAAATGTTTTTTCTTGATGGGTATATAGCTCTAAGTCATTGCATTTCAAGTCGAAGGTGTCAAATTGTGAAAATGTTAATAATATTGAAATATGTAGGTAAAATGTTTTTCTTGATGGGTATGTAGCTCTAAGTCATTGCATTTCAAGTCGAAGGTATCAAATTGTGAAAATGTTAAAAATATTGAAATATTTAGGTAAAATGTTTTTCTTGATGGGTATGTAGCTCTAAGTCATTGCATTTCAAGTCGAAGGTATCAAATTGTGAAAATGTTAAAAATATTCAAATATTTATGTTAAATGTTTTTTCTTGATGGGTATGTAGCTCTAAGTCATTACATTTCAAGTTGGAGGTATCAAATTGTGAAAATGGTAAAAATATTTGAATATTTAGGCAAAATGTTTTTCTTGGTGGGTATGTAGCTCTAAGTCATTGCATTTCAAGTCGAAGGTATCAAATTGTGAAAATGGTAAAAATATTAAAATATTTTTGTAAAATGTTTTTTCTTGATGGGTATATAGCTCTAAGTCATTGCATTTCAAGTCGAAGGTATCAAACTGTGAAAATGTTAAAAATATTGAAATATGTAGGTAAAATGTTTTTCTTGGTGGGTATGTAGCTCTAAGTCATTGCATTTCAAGTCGAAGGCATCAAATTGTGAAAATGTTAAAAATATTAAAATATTTATGTAAATTGTTTTTCTTGATGGGTATGTAGCTCTAAGTCATTGCATTTCAAGTCGAAGGCATCAAATTGTGAAAATGTTAAAAATATTAGAATATTTAGGTAAATTGTTTTTCTTGATGGGTATGTAGCTCTAAGTCATTGCGTTTCAAGTCGAGATTATGTATATGATTTCCTCATTTATAACAATGTCAAGAGTATGGTTTTACACCGCTTTTAGCAATATTTCATCAATATCATTGCTTTGGACTTTAAAATTCACATCCGCACATTTTACCAATTTGGGTAACTGAATCCGGGTCTTTGACAAAGACGGAACAGGCAAATATTTAACCATTAGGCTACTCTGCATAGTAGTTGTCCTGAAAGTATATTATGTAACCCGTGAAAATGGTCGAAAATAAAGTGTACACTCCTCCTTTCTCTTTCTCAAGAATGTGCAACCCCCTTTTTCTAAAAGCTTATCCTGAAATTTACGTCCTGATACTGATTTTTATCTGTTAGATGCCTTTAATGGCTGTATCTTTTTGAGAACTGGACTTACCAAGTGACTTGATCAAATTGGAATCTTTCTTAGCCAGGGGAGATAACTGTGACAGACGGGGACGGGACCGAGGAGAACCGTGATGTTGTCCTGTCACTCAGGGGTGAGGGAAGTGACAAGTTCACCATCGACTCGGACTCCGGGATAGTCAAGGTCAAGGCTCCTGGATCAATTGACTGCGAAGTCAAGTGTTTCTACTCTTTCAAGGTAACCCATATTGTCACTGGCCCAGCTATTCAGGTCGGTGGTATCGTAGAACTGATTTCAGTATAATAATCATCCTCGATAATCTCCAGGGTATACGTTCCGATAAATCTCCACTATACCCAGGAGATAATCGAGTATGTATAATAATAGCTCTGATACCTTCCTTAGAATAAGCTTGGTTGACACATGTCATCGGTTCCCATTTGCACAGATCGATGCTCATGCTGTTGATCACTGGGTTGTCTGGTCCAGAATCGATTATTTACAGACCGCCGCCATATAGCTGGAATATTGCTGAGTGCGGCGTAAAACTAAACTCACTCACTCCTTTGAATAAATTATTCTTCAGATGTAGGTCTAGTTAGATCGCTAAAGGGGATGTAATTATTGTCAGATGCACATAGATCAAGGAATGGACATGGAGTTAGGGTTAACTTTACTTGACAGTGCTTTTATTGCTTGTGTTTGCATAGCCAAGGTCCAGTCGCAGGGCCGTGTCTTGACTATATAGCACCGCACCACTAAGCCAAGGGTACCACCGTGTGTCATGCACCTGCATAGCATTCATCCCTTAACTAATATATAGAGAATACTAAACGGTGTCCCGTGTAATACCATATTTATGAAACACGTGAATGGTATTGGCAATAATATGGTATTACACGGGACATAGTTTAGTATTTTATTTATTACTCACCCAACATTAGCAAAATAATATCGAGCAAAGTACTGAGTGTGATGACTCAGCTTTCCGCGAGTCAGGCAAGGTATAATAATATTGTGACAGAGGTAATAGCATTGTGACGTCATAACTGTAAACCACTTTGACGTCATACGTACGGCATCACGCGATGTTATTACAATGCTCATGCTGTTGATCACACAATATGTAATAACGATGTAACATTATTAAACAGTGATATCTTCAACGGGTGAGTAATAAATTGATTTATTACCGACGAGGGCGAAAATATCGGGGTTCATATTTTTCATACAATGCCCTAGGGCAAAATATCACTTTGTCATGGTGACGTTACGTCATGAACAATGTTATGACGTCACGTTTCTTCTATGACGTTGAGTTCCACATGCGGCGACGGCGGGTAGCCAGCCAATGTTTGAAAGTAGATTTGGGTTTATTTTCCTCAATTTGACGACTTCGGCAATAAATAGAATATTATGTTCGTGCCCATATCATACTATGTTTATAACACTCGTGCCTAAATATCGGTATATCCCCAGTCTAAGTATATAACGTTGCATTATGCCATACGGTTGACCTTACCGGCGTTCTGACGACATCGCTTGCTGTCTGGTAATCTGCGCAGCAACTGATGCGCATAACATCCAGCTGGAGATCCGAAGTATGGAAGCGTATAAGGGCCAGATTATTTTCAAATATCACTTCATCAGTGTAAGGAAGAGTGTTTCATATTAAATCCAATTATGAATAATGAAGAAAAAGGTTAAAAAGTCTGAAGAAAACGAATTTTCATAAAACAGTCAATTTATCTGTCAATTACTGTTATTTACTCCCTTATAGAAATGTCCCGATTTCAAGCGTAAATGTGGTAGCAGACGATGTTTACCTTCGTACGGAAGTACGCTATTGCAGCTGCGCAGAATTACCGGACGCGCTGAATTGCCGGACTCGCTTGTATATACAGCACTATGCCTGAAGTGTTGCAAGAAAAATGACGTCCTCTGTATTTGAGCTGAGATGGCCGTTACGTATTTGGATAAACAGAATTACACTGTTTACATCCAAAAATAAATTTTGATACAGGATAATATTTTAGGGGTTACTTTTTCACCTAGCACCTACAGGAAGTAGGTGGAGCAGACGACATCCTGTTTACATTTGACATGAAATCATGGCTGCTGTCAGAAGAGAATTGACCCCCAGGTTGAAAGAAAGGTTAATATTTTTAAACAGAGTGGAAAAAACCCCATTGCAACAAAGCTAAGATTTTGGGGATACATGGATCTACTGTCACTAGAGTCTGGAAGAATTTTCAGTCGAAAACAAGGCTAACGTGTCAGGCGTAATTTGTTGTCCGAGCAGAGAACCCTGAGAATTGATCGCCAACTTTGTCGTATGGTGCAAGGTAATCGTTGGCAGTCTTTGACAGATTTGACTCATGAATTCAATAATGTATACAATCAAGTCTTATCTAAAGGAACTGTTCAAAGAAACTCCTTTTCTATTGTTTTCAAAAGTTTGCTATTCGGAAAACTTTCTCAATTTCAAAGGTGAACAGAAGAAAGAGGCCAGATTGCTTGGTGTAGAAATAAGAGACATTTTACCACTTGACTATTGGAAGAAAATTATTTTCTCTGATGGAACTCAGGTGGTGATTGGAAAGAACAAGTATATATATGAAATATACAGTTCTGAGTGGCTTCAAATGCAACCCTTTTAAGAACAAGTACCATATTCACTGTAATAAGTGGCCCAGGTACTTAAAAAAGTGGCACAAGTAAACTGTTTTTTGAGAGATCAGACTTTAGAGATTAAACATTAACAAGACTAAACCTTTTCAATAATAGTTACTGAGAAATTATATACCTCTTATTCTCCTGTTGAAAAGATCTGTAAATTGCACAAGAAAGCATAGACTGTAATGTCTTTGGAGGTAGAGTTTATGAAGATTTTATACAGATTTGTCTGGAAGTGGAATGGGAGATGCCATTTCGAAAGTGGTCAAAAGTAGCACATGTTTTTTTTTTGTTTGGGGGGGAGGGGGGGGATTACAATTTCTCAGTAAAGTACAGATTCTAGTACTTTTCTTGGGTTCAGTCACATATGGGAGCCAGGCACCTATCACCAGCAGACAAAGTACTAGAATCTGAACTTTACAGAGAAAGTGTAATCCCAAATATAACATGAAATTGTATGAAGGGTGCTTAAAATGATGAATATGGTATTTCAATATTTCAGCTTCACGCACAAGACCAGAAAGGGCGGGGTCTCACTGGACAGGCTGACATACTCATCAGTGTGCAGGACGTCAATGATAACTCCCCGACCTTCCAGCCTAATCTGACCTTCACCTTGAACTCGCTCACCTCGGTTGGTGCCCACGTTGGCAGTGTCAAGGCCACGGACAGGGACAAAAAGGGCCCCAATAATGTCGTCCTCCATGTTCTCACTGAAGGGGGAGATGGCAAGTTTGAAGTGGACCCGTATACTGGTGAGTTTTAACTTGTTTATTATTTTGTCTCATAGTTCATTTTGGCAGCAGTTTTCTAAGAACACAAGAAAATCACAAGGAGTCCAAAACACTTCGATGCCCTTGTCACCGTTCATGGATGGCTGGTGTTTTCTTATTCTATGTCTTCTTGGATCTTCCGTTGATACCAATTGTTGTGGATGCAGATTAGGATCTTGAGGAATTCCTAATTTATATTGTTATTGGGGTTCTTGATTAAGTGACCCATGAAGATCTGGGTTAGAATTGGTCTTCAGCAACCCACGCTTGTTGTGAATTGACTAACGTGATCGGGTGGTCAGGCTCGCTGACTTGGTTGAATCGTCATCGTATCCCAATTGTGTAGATTGATGCTCATGTTGTTGGTCACTGGATTCATCAATCTTGACTCAATTATTTACAGACCATCGCCATATGGCTCTGATATTACTGAGTGTGGCATATAACTAAACTCACTCTGATGAAGTGATTTCATGTCAGATTTTTACGTAGGAGCTTGGAATCCCACCCACAAGGCGTAGCATAATGACCTATAATAACTCTATATATTTAATCATGGACTTACGAATGACATAGTGCCACTAATGCTTTGTGGATAGGTTCCCTGGTGTTCTTTAAGCCTGAAACTGAGCAGTCTAAGAGTTCTTCTCTGTCATCAGGAAGCATCAAGCTACAGATGTCCCTTCTGGATGAACCAAGGAGAGAGGAGTACGTCCTTCATGTCAGTGCGTTTGACTTCGGTAACCCGTCACTGTCTGCCGACACCACAGTCACCATCAATGTCCCCCTCAACTTTGAGCCCAGTGTGGCACTGAAGATAGCATTCTCTGTGGAGGAAAATGCCTCTGTTGGGTCAAACATTGGTCAAGTTACAGCCACAGACAAGAATGTTGAACGAGGAGAAGATGACCACTTGAGATACTTCATTGATGAAGACACTTTAGCAGGTAAAAAGTTAAATTGAATTCTTTGGCTTGCTAGTATGATCTCTTTTCTTTCCAGAAGAATTTACTTATATGGAATTTATTTATAAGTCATACATAGTTGAGTAACCAATTTGTTTTGACAATCATTTCAGTCTAGTAAACACCAGAATAAGCATTTGGCTTCAGAAAATATTGAGGTTACATGTCCAAATATTGAGGTCACATGTTGACTGCTGCTGTTATGGATTATGATTATTAACTTAAAATGGATATGGATTCATTATCAACCTTACTAGTCAGCAAACTTAGCATTTAAGTTACCTTTAAAAAAAATTATCGTAGGCGACTAGTGTAAACCTTTTCTCACTAGTCATCAAAGTTTGCAATTTGTCCTGCTTGAAAAATATTTATGTTTACATTTTCTTTAGTTTTCCGGGCGGTGAAGAGCCTAGTGGTTAAAGCTTTCACTCATTACTCCGAAGGGTTGTGAAGCCCATTTATGGTGTCCCCTCTTTAATATTGCTGGAATATCATTAAAAGCGATGTAGAACTAAACTCACTCACTCTTTAGCTTACAATTTGTAGCAAAGGAAAAGCCTTGACAACTGCAACAAAACTGAATCCCCCTTATGCCACCACTCAGGGGTGGAAATAACTTTAAAATTTGCTAGTGTACACCGGTACAGTGGCACATGTAAAATCACTTGCCCTAATAATTTTTCCTCTATACCGGCCGATTTTCTTGTTGATTGTTTAAATAAACAACATAATTAACATTGGAAAGTCAACTGGACATTGGTACAGTGTGATATACAAAATTGCTTGCCCGACTGGAAAAAACACTGGACTCGGCCGTCGGGCAATGGGTTATTTCCACCCCTGCCACTCAATGAGGGTTACCTTCTTTGGGTTTTTGCTTATTCTGAGCAATTTACTAGTCTCAGGCTAGTAGACTGCTGTCAATTTCAAAGACTGATTGGAACATAAATTCTTCCAACAGGTGATGGTTTTCCATTCAGCATAGATATTGACACAGGCATGATATCAACTAGAGCTGCTTTGGATAAGGAAACGGCAGATGGGTTTAGTTTTCTTGTGTACGTGGTCGACTCGCTGAAGCCGGTATACACATCATCGAGTTCGGTGCACGTGGAGGTACTGGACCAGAATGACAGTCCCCCTGAGTTCACTGCCCCTGAGTATGTGATGAAGGTTCTGGAAGATGATGCAGGAGACACGCTACATACACTGCAGATTGTAAGTTGGCATGAATATCGCAGAACACTTTGTCTCACAATATGGTACATAAGCAGTGTTCGAAACAGCCACTGGCCTGCTAGCCCGTGACTAGTAATAATCCAGTCAGGGAAGTAAATCTCTACAGTCACTGGCCTGACTGGCTAGTGAATTTTCATAGGGTCATTTTGTAAATATAACACTCTCTCCGACTTGTTAAGTTATAATAACACACTTTTAGATCATGCAGTATTTTGGCCTGATAAAAATGTTAATCATATTAGTAGCTTAATGATGAAACCTGTGTCTTCATTCACATTTCGGACTAGTGAATTATTTTGTGGACTAGTAACTTTCAGGCATAGCTAGCCTGACTGGCTAAAAAAATTTGGAAACCATTTTACACACTGTACATAAGGTTTTACGTGACATACAAATGTGCATCCAGTATGCACAAATATTGAGAAGGGACACAGAAACCTCAAAATACCGCATCTGGATTACAAACATACCATCTGTGTACCTACAGCATCAAGAGTAGTTTTCTGTGTCTGTTATTTCACCAATCAGTCATGATCACTGATTCATTCCCATCCTCGATAATCTCCAGGGCTATACGTTCAGATAAATCTCTACTCTACTCTGGATGCATCTACGGCCCGAGCCGATGATTTTATTACCTCCTTTTGCTGGCTCCGCATTCTCACAGTAGCCAATTAGATAAACCACCGTTACAACCGAGCTTGCCAGTGTCAACAAAGATAGCGGTATTATGTATAATATTCTAAAATCTATGTATTCCAATATAAAATCATGTGTACGTTGTGGGGATGATACCACCGACTATTTTGATAGCCCAGTTGGACTTCGACAAGGCTGTATTTTAAGTCCAATTTTGTTCTCTTTCTTTATAAGTGAATTGTATTTTGAAATTACAAATTGCGGTAAACATGGAATTCAAATGTTTCCCGACATGATTGAAATATTGATTTTGCTATTTGCCGATGATGTTATCCTAGTATCAGATACTATTGTTGGACTACAAAATCAACTTAACAACCTAGAACGTTTTACACATGTTTGGAAATTGTCAGTTAATTTTGACAAAACAAATGTTGTCATTTTTAGAAGAGGAGGCCCTGTTGCAAAAAATGAGAAATGATCCCTAAATGGAAAGTTGATTACTATTGCTAATCACTATACTTATCTGGGTGTACTGTTTGCTCATACAATGAATTTCAAGAAAAGTGTTACTGATTTGACATCATGAGCCAAGAAAACATTAATCAACCTCATGGCTGTATCTCAGAACTTAGGCGTTTTAACACATAGTATACACTTTAAACGTCACATGCAACGTAAAACAACTTTGCAGATTCTGATACGTTTCGCTATGGACTTACCGAAACAAATCATCAAAAATGCAAATTCATCTTATAAAGTTGAAAAATAACGCGATGAAAAAAGCGCAAAAAAAGTTCAAGCGATTTCAATTTTCCCCAGCTTGGGGGAATTTAAGTGGTTTCAACAGCTGGGCTGGCTGCGATGGGCTGCGCTCATAGCACATGCGCAGTGAAATAGGTTCGCGCAGCTTGGAAGCGGGATGTCCGGTGAATACTCGGTGAAGGCTTTGGTGTAATGTTTTCTTGATATTTCACAGGCGCGAGCTTTTAATATGTTATGACAGTAGATTAACTGTTTATATAATTTCATTTGTCTATTTCACCACACGTTCTTCTTACCGAGTCACTTTCTCAGTTCGATACTTAAAAGCAATGTCATTATTTAGCGTAGACAGAATTTCTAACTGTGATATATACTCCTCACAAAAAGTTAAGCAACAAGTATTTTTTTCCACATATTTTCTTCATGGGTATATGAAGTTATTACTTGGCATATAAGCCATGCAGGAGAACCCTTTACGATTGATGAACTTAAAGCATTTCCCATATTGTTTTTCTGATAACATTGTTAGCACCGCCTGAACGCAACCACCCTCAAAACTCACATGCAAAATGCATGGAAAACATGTGCTATACACGTCGCATTACATGCGTTCTGATTATGCGTTAAAACTGCCAGCAACGACAAATTGTTGACAGTAACATTTGAGAAATGGCTAGGGCGTCTTGACACCAATTGAAGTTGCTCAAATTGTTGGAATGGTGCGGGGTCAGACCCAGAGTGCTGTTGCCAACCATTTCAATATTCATCGGCGTCATCTCCAGAGCGATCACTCGTCACCAACAGACCGGATTGATGACTGAGAGACCACGCTCAGGTCGTCAAAGGTGACAACTCCCAGAGAGGACCGATGCTTGGCCACCCTAGCCTGGTGGAACAGGTTCACCACAGCCAGATCTCTCCAGAATGACCTCCAGAGTTGCTGGGAACAGAATCTCCACACAGACAGTGAGGAACAGACTCCATGCTGAAGGTCTCAGGTCCGAAGACCAGTGCAACGTATCCACTGCCTGCACACCATCGTCAACAGAGACTGAATTGGGCTAACCAACGGCGTAACTGGAGAGTCAATGCGGCGTAATGTTCTCTTCACAGATGAGTCAAGATTCTGTCTGGACTTCAATGATGGTAGGGCTACCGTGTGTGGAGAAACCGTAATCGAAACGTCGCCAACAATACGATTGCTGAACATGATCAGTATGGAGGTGGGAGTTTGATGATCTGGGCAGGAATCCAAGTTGGACGACGAACTGATCTTGTGGTCATCAGGCGAGGTACCATGACAGGTGTGAGGTACCGAGGCGAAATTGTCACACCTGTGATCATTCCGTGGGCTCAGCAAGCAGGTCCTAACTTCATCTTCATGGATGACAATGCCCGTCCACATCGAGCAAGAGTTGTCACTGATGTTCTTCAGACCAACAACATCACCCATATGGACTGGCCTGCAAGGTCTCCTGACCTGAATCCTATTGAACATGCTTGGGACATCCTCGGAAGGCGTGTATGTACGGCCTCCACGTTCGTCCTCAGACTCTGGATCAGCTTGAACAGGCATTGCAGAGAATGGCAGAACATTCCACAACAGACTCTAGACAGACTCATCTGGTCAATGCCTAGACGTCTTGAAGCGTGTATTCAGGTCAATGGTGGCCATACACGTTATTAAACTTTGGATCAGTGCTCAAAACTGACAGTAAAAGTGTTTTCAGACATTTTCATACCCTGATGCAACACATTTTGCACGGCTTTTTCAGTGACACTGTTTTTGATGATTTGCAAGTCAGTTATTGTTCAATGAATTTTGATTTCTTTGTTGGAAAAGTGTGTGGATATGCTTTATCTTTGTTATGTTTGATTCAGTTGTAATGATCATGAGTAAAGGCATATGTACTGACCAAAAATACACTTGTTGCTTAATTTTTTGTGAGGAGTATAGACGTTGTCACAGACAAAACTCAATGTCTGTTTTATTGACACCTATGTGTCTGCCTGCCTGTCTGCTAATGATGATATTCAATACACAACTCCGATCACTGACCACATGCAATTTGAACTTAACACCTATCAGGCTATACACCATAAACAACATGCATTGATTTATGGCCCGAGTTCGTTCTCTGTCACATTATGTAATTACACAGACAGGCAGGTGTGATACTTGTACACATGACATGTTATGATGTATGTTGATTGCAAAATGTTATACAAAAAAAATGATCATGTATTTACAAAACCCAACATCTCTATATACACACACACAATGAGCTTTGAGGGCCTTGGCAAATGAACCAGCCGTTTCACTTGAGTGCACACCCACCTGCTCTGACTGGGTTTGTTAGCCCTTTTGCTTCTTTTCGAGAGAAGTAAACCCAAGTACAAAATATTGCACTTTTGATTTGCGATTGTACGCTTATAATTTATATGTTTTTTCATAACCAGCAAAGTATATTATATGTCATGAATAAGTGATAATTATGTTTTAATTATGTTTGATTTTTTGGTTGCATGTGACCTTTAAGCATTGATTAACTTTATTCCCTTCATCCTTGTATTATTGTGTGTATTTATATGTGTATATCATGTATTCTCCTTGTATGTGGGCCGGAGGCCTCAAATACAATAAACACATTGACATTGACAGTGTGAATGATAATGTGTGAGTAAATACTGAAAGGTTCAAAATATTATCTGAGCTATTTGTGTTTTTACAGTCCCCATCAGTCCGTGTTACTGATATTGACACCCCCTTGGCCGACATACAGTTCAGCTTGATGGGGAATGGCAGTGACCTGTTTGTCATCGACCCAGCTACAGGGCACATCGACCTGAAACACAGTGGGACCATGGACAGCGAGACACAGCAGCAGTACAACCTTACTGTAAGGAAATATTGAGATGTTACTTGATGAAGGGACCTGGACGGTCTCGAAACGTCGTGAGAGAAATTAAAAAAGAAGTTTAATCCGTAAAAATATCTTGGACATCAATGTACAACTTCTAAATGCCACTGAAAGACATGTTACTTCTCTGTCAATTCTTAATTTATAAACATACATTTCCTGGGAAATAAAATACTGGTTAAAATAAACTCAATTTGAATAAACCTTTTAAAGGACAATTGTTTTGTTAAATTGTCTGGAAAAATTCAAAAAGCCTGTCCCTATTTCTCAGCCCCCACTTTTTCCATTTTACGCCTAATTTTTCTTGTGTTTTTTTTTTTCATTTTAAGCCTATGGATTTGAATTTTTTAGTTCCAAATCCCCATCCCCTGATAATCTGGTCCTAATGACTCAGTTATGCGACCAGCCTCTGTTAAACCCATCCTTAGTTCCTCTGTTCATTGCTGCAGGTCTTGGCATCAGATGGAAGATTCTCCAGTGCAGCACCATTAACAGTAATTGTTGAAGATGTCAATGACAATGCCCCAGTCTTCAAAGGGGAGGTAGCTCTAAATGTGAGCTCTCTGACACCTGTGGGATCTGTGATTGGTCATGTCAGTGCCACGGATGCTGATGTGACGGACCAGAACAATGATGTGATGTATTATGTCATCAAGGGCGGATTGGACAAGTTTGCTGTTCACCCGGAGTCAGGTATACTCTACTGTTCTTGTACTGAATACTGAGAGAGTGGGAGAGTGAGTGAGTGAGACGGTTATTGAGTGAGTTGGTGGATGAGTGTGGTGAGTGAGTGAGTGGGTGAGTGAGTGAGTTATTGAGTGAGTGAATCTATTTGTAGGTTGGGTTTGTGGATTAGAGAAAGTATATCCAGGGTATGATCATCATATACAATGTATGTCTCCTTGTAGCTTGAGATGTACTGTGAGATGAAAGGCAAGAGTTAACTCCCCTTACATTCCTCTCGAAGGCAGATGATTCTAGAATACATTTCTTGAAGCCATTATCAGATCATGCTGTCTAAATTTAGTAAGACTGAATATATCACACAACTGCACCTTACTTCATCTGCAGTTACAATGTATAACAGTAAAACAATGTTGCAAAATGTATAACACTACGTTTAACACCCCCTAAAATGCTCCCTGATGAATTTGTGCCGCAATTGTGCAAATGAGCACAGTTTACACAATGGGGAAACTGATTCTTCTGGTATTATATGGATGTAATGATGCTCACTCACTCACTCATCACACCAATAGGTGAGATCCAGGTAGTGTCGGCCCTGATGGAGGACCCCAACCAGGCCTCCTACTCCCTGACAGTCCGAGCTGCGGACCTGGGACGACCCCAGAAGTACAGCGATACAACCGTCACCATCTACGTCCCTATCAACTACCAGCCACAGGTGCCCCTGGTCACGGAGGTACAGGTGCAGGAGGACCACCCCCAGGGCACCGTCCTGCACACAGTCCATGCACTGGACCCCAATGTGGAGAGAGGGGATGGGGACAGGCTCAACTTCTTCATCAGTGAAGAATCATCTCAAGGTATCTGCAGCTATTAAAATAATCAAATCAGATGTGATGAATAATGTAGACAGTGCAACTCTGTGTGTTCAGTTGTTTTGTTTGATGTTTAACACCGCTCTCAGCAATATTCCAGCTGTATGGAGAGGGTCAGTAAATAATCCAGACTGGACCAGACAATCCAGTGACCAACATAATGAGCATCGATTGCTCAGTACTGAGCATGAAGATGAAGTTAAATGCTCAAATTTGAGAAAACACAGGAAAATGCATTTCCCAGAATGAACTGTAAATATAGTAGACAATATTGAGTTTGGGGGATAGATTGCTTAAGTTGTTTGGGCTTTTTTTATTTTAAAAATACAGTTGACTTAAAAATTCAGCTGTTTCAAATTGTCAAACTCAGTTTGAAAAAACTCAAGTTTGTTTTGAAAAATCGGGGCCTGGTGTTTTATTACACAAGTTATGATTGCTGTAGTACTAAGATCGCTTTGCAACAAGGCCCTAGGACCCCACTGTGATATTGTTTGAATATCTGTATTATCTGTAAATATATATTTTTACTTGCAGATATCCCCTTTGAGATCGACAGATACACTGGGGCTCTAAGGACAAAGTCCGAGCTGGATCGAGAAACGACCGACAAGTACAGCTTCCTGGTTCATGTGACTGACAGCAAGCAGCCTGTGTACACAGCATCAACAACAGTAGAGGTCACCGTTACTGATGTCAACGACAATGCGCCCATGTTTGCAGCCAGCATCTATAAGGCGAAGGTCACTGAAGATGATACCGCACCAGGCCAAGCTCAGGTTGTGTATCTGGTATGTATGGTCAGTTCTGGTTGCTGCTTTTCCCATGTGATTAATTTTGAACTTTTAGTTTGTGCATGTTTCTTTGTACAGCGCGAGTCGAGTGGATTGATACTGATAGTATCATGGCTACATCAAAGTACTAGACTTGAATAAGCTACGTGTCACGTGAACAACACTGATGTCATCAGAGATGGTCAATCATGAATAGAGGGGAAGGTCATGTTGTCATTGTAAGGGTCACAAAATACACACAACTGTGATGATGGTCCAGAAAGAATACACACCCATTCTCCATCTTTGGGGTCCAGCAAAACAGTCATGTTCTTCAGCAGGGTCCAGAGAAAGAAGGGCCAATCTATGTCTACTCAAAATTCATGGCAAAGTCTTGATACAACATTATGGACGATTATATTGTGATAAATGTCATTTTACCTCTGAAGACAGAGACAGGGTCTTGTTGTTTTAAGCCCTTCTTCAAACATGGTAGATCATTACTTGGACAATGCTTGTAAGATTATTGTATACTATTAAGTCATTGTTATGTTTGATATCACTAACGTAGTATTTCTGGCCACAGTAAAGTCAGAGTTTTGGGTAAAATGTCAAAACTCATTCTGACATGTATGATCGACATGTATGATCACTACCCTTTATAAAACAGTGTTTCTTGTTAAAAAGTAACGCGTGACCTCAAAGAGTAACCCTGTCCTGTTTCAGAGGCCTCCATTGAAGGTGACTGATGAGGACAGCTCTAGTGACCAGTTCGTGTTCCGGCTTCTGGGATCTGGGAGCGAGCTCTTCACCATAGATGCCAACAGCGGAGAGATCACTCAGAGGGAGGCAGGGAGTCTGGATGGAGACAGTGCATCAGTCTATAATCTCACAGTCAGTAAAGACACTATTTGGCCTGTGTGATACCACTTGTATTGATGCCTCCCATGGGTTAATGTGGTTGGTGGTTAATGTGCTACAGACAGGAACATGGTCCTTGGGTTCATTGTCCATTCTCCTAACAATGTAGACAGGGAAGGTCATTATTCTGACAGTTATCTTGTGTGAAAATTGTATACAGTTAAGTCATTACTATGTCTGTTATGTGGCATCATAACAGTTGCAAACAATCAAATCTGTGTCGGGTAAACAGGTGTATGTTTGACAATTTAGCAAGTCAGGATTCTTTTTTAAAAACAGAAATATGAGAAATAGTGTGTTGTGATGTGATTCCCTACATTCTGTTCGTCTTCTCGGGTAGAAGAAAGAAATTGTCATGAAATGCAAACAGAAACAATATATTGTCTCAAACAAAAATTCCAGAATATAAAATGGTCAGTCCCATATTATCCTGAGGCACCATCCACATTGGTTTTGGTGTGACACTGATATGTCAGACCACAGTTTGTCAGTTCCATGGACAAACCTGGAGTATTGCCTCAGAACCCTATAAAGTGAGTGAATGAGTTTAGTTTTATGCCGCACTCAGCAATATTCCAGCTATATGGCGGCAGTCTGTAAATAATCGAGTCTGGACCAGACAATCCAGGAGCAACAGCATGAGCATTGATCTGTACAATTGGGAACCAATGACATGTGTCAACCAAGCCAGCGAGCCTGACCACCCGATCCCGTTAGTCGCCTCTTACTACAAGCATGGGTTACTGAAGATTCATTCTAACACAGACCTTCACGGGTTGAACCTCATAAAGACCTTCTATGGCAATGAGTGGGCGCCAGTGGGCATTCCAGGTGAGAAGGTCCCCAGCAAACTGTGACTACCATGATCAGGCCCATGTTTTGGTTAATTACATGAGAGTGTATTGCCTTGTATCAATGTTCATTATGTCAAACAGGACTGACTGTCTGATCCAGACTTGATTGTTTTACAGATCACCTTCATATTGCTGAAATATTGTGTGTAATGTCAAGCGGCAAATAACCACAGCAAACAAGAGAGGGAAAATTAGATTGATATTTGACTTTATCATTGACATAATTAGGCATTGAACAAAATTAGAGCGACCCGTGAAGATCCGGGTTAGAATTGGTCTTCAGTAACCCATGCTTGTCATAAGAGGCAACTTAAGGGATCAGGTGGTCAGTCTCACTGACTTTGTTGACACATGTCATCATATCCCAATTGCCTAGATCGATGCTCATGCTGTTGATCACTAGATTGTCTGGTCCAGTCTTGATTATTTACAGACCGCTGCCATATTGCTGGAATATTGCTGAGTGTAGTGTTAAGCAACAAACAAATAAATTAGTGCAATGCAAGACTCTGTACTTGATGCCATATAACTGTGAAGTGCCATTATTTCCTGTATTGTAATAGGTGTCTGTAGATGATGGTCGGTATGTCAGCAATGTCTCACTGACTGTGTCTGTGGAGGACGTAAATGACCACGCCCCTGTTGTGGTGGGGGAGCAGAGGGTGGAGGTGGACCCTCTGTCCCTCCCAGGGGATGTGGCGGCTGTGATGAAGGCCAAGGACTTGGACCAGGCAGATCGGAACAAGAGAGTCTCGTATTACCTCATGGCTGGCGGCATGGACAGATTCAGGATCCACGAAACAACAGGTGATGACAAGTGTAATTTTCAGTTAACAAATGTCGTTTTTGTGAAAGTCATACCAAATATGTATTCAAGCCATCAACACATGTCATTGTATCCCTACTGCATAGATTGATGCTGATACTGTTCATCACTGGATTGTCTGGTCCAGACTCAGTTATTTACAGACCGCTGCCATATAGCTGGAATATTGTGGAATATATAAGTGCAAAACTAAACTCACTCGATCACACTCTCTGCCACATTCATCATTTTACTCTTATATATGATCACATTCACCAGACTGAATAATGATAACAATATTTAAATATGGGGCTGGTCAAAACAACAAACCAACATTGCCAGAAGCAGTTCAACATATATGAAGAAAGGTGAAAAGAAACTTCCAATAGAATCTAACTCCAATAGAGTTTTTGGAAGACCATGGTATGTTTCTGTTGTACACAGTTGTATACATCCTAGAATTAGTTCTGAAAACAAGTATAGTTAAAAACATAAATGTTTTGATATTTCTGAAAGAGAAAACTACTGTGTCTTGTGTTTTCGGTGAATCATGGTCATCCAATCTTTCAGGGTTGATAACTGTTGCCAGTTCTCTGACTGAGGGAACTCTTCAGGACCAGTATGACCTCGAGATCCGTGTTGTCGATCACGGCTACCCTCAACAGTCTACAGACTTCACCCTCACCTTGGACGTCCCGGTCAATTTCCCTCCCAGACTGAGAGACTCATACAGCTTCAGGCTGCAGGAGAATGTTCATGAAGGGACAGCTGTCGGGAAGGTGGTGGCCACAGACAGGAATGCTGACAAAGGGGAAGAAGAACGACTCAGTTACTTCATTGATAAAACAGGTCAGTGAATATGGTCAGAAGAAATTTGATGCAGAGTTATTTGCTTGCAGAGTTATCTCCCCTTGTTTTTGCTTTTGTGAGTGAGTTTAGTTTTATGCCGCACTCTGCAATATTCCAGCCATATGGCGGTGTTCTGTAAATAATCGAGTCTGGACCAGACAATCCAGTGATCAACAGCATGAGCCTCGATCTGTGCAATTGGAAACCGATGACATGTGTCAACCAAGTCAGCGAGCCTGACCACACGATCCCGTTAGTCGCCTCTTACGACAAGCATGGGTTACTGAAGGCACATTCTAACACAGACCTTCACGGTTCTTTTGCTTTTTTTGTAGTCAGGTTACCCATCCCCTGTTGTACATTATTCATGTGTATCATAAACGTCATCTTCAATGAAACAATGATGGTGAAATTTCAAGTATTTGTTCATAAGTGTGTTCATATGTTGGACGATGTTCCAATTATTGTTCAGTGTTTTGAGTCTGATGTTTGGTATGATCACAAGGTTCATGTATATATGAATCTTTTAAGCACCAGTATTTTTTGGAAACAGTTCGTATGAGGTTTATCTGTTGCTTTAGATGTAGCAAAGCAGGCACAAATGTACGAACATTTTGTTTTGATTTGATTGTTTTTTTAATGCTGCACTCTGTAGTATTCCAGCTATCTGTAAATAATCACGTCTGGACCAGACAATGCACTGATCAGCAGCATGATCCTCGATCTATGCAATTGAGATATGATGATGTCTGTCAGAGAAGTCAGCAAGTCTGACCAACCAATCCCTGATCCCATGAATCTCAACTGTTTTACCGAACTTCACGTGATCCAGAGGTGGTGGGGTAGCCTGGTGTTTAAAGCAGTCGATCGTCATGCCGAAAACATGCGTGATAATGCTGGGATATTGCTAAAAGCAGTGTAAAACAAAAACTCACTTGCTCACTCACGTGTTCCAACATTCTGTTGATTGCATACACAGTGATAATGGAGAGAGTTAGTTAGACAGTAATAGCAAAAACACTGGCTGTAGTTCATCATTTCATTCAGTTCATTCCAACATAAAGATCTTGATGAAAACATGTTCTTGAAAAATTATGAAACTGTCTTATTTCGCAGACTCATGCAAAGCGGAATTGTTTCTTAAAAATGTCCCCAGAATCCCCCAGCCTGCCCTTCACCATTGAGCGAGACACTGGTTATCTCCGGACGAACTCAGCCATTGACCGAGAGGAACAAAGCGAGCACATGTTCTCTGTGTTCGTCACTGACAGTCGCAGCCCTGTCTACACATCATCGTCAACGGTTACCGTGGCAATAGAGGATGAGAATGACAATGTTCCAGTGTTCAGTGCTCCAAAGTATGGGGCCAGCTTTCCTGAAGACAGGGATTTTACCAAGGACGGGGAGTTAATTCTGGTAGGAGCGCTTATTGTGTGCAAACAGCTTTTGATGACAGTGTGAAATGATTACAACTTGACATGTTTGTGGTGTAAATATTTAAAGGCACAATGTCACACAGTTTTGACAACATTTTGGCCTATATTATACATATTGAGGCATATGCACTCGCTTTTGCTTCCTATTTATGCAATAAAAACTTCTTATCCCTTATGACTTGCCTGAAATCGATAATTGAATTTAGAGGTGAACAGTTTCAAAACAGGGAGCACTTGCCATATATGGGATGTAAACAATTGCTTCATACATCGAAAACTGTCGCACGCGGGTGTTGTCAGTGTTTGCCAAACTGGTCTCAATCACAAGTTGCGTTATAGGATATTCGTAAGGAGCATTCCTAGGGACATAACTCTATGGGGTTCGCTTGATATTATGTTCGGCCAGAAGAAGGCACGAGAGTCGATTTAATGCAATGTTGCATAATTCTTTCAAACTTTTCAATTTAATATTGCAATCTAAATACATATTTTGGGGGGAAATAAATTATATGGTAGCTTCCCTGAGGGCTGATAGTTAGTGTTATTGAGAGAAATGGATTATGTATTTTTAGAGAAATGTGCTGTGACATTGTGCCTTTTAAGTATGTGTATACTAATATTACTATTTATGTCTCCCCCCCTGAAGGGTCGGGAGACATATTGTTTTTGGTTGAGTTTCTGTTGACGTAGGCGTTCCCATTGTTTCCAGAACATAACTCTAAAACTACAAAAAATTCACCAAATTTGGTATACTGCCTCTCCTTATCATGTAGAATTCACATGCCTTATGGGGGAGTTTGAGTTATTTTTTTTTTCAATTTTATTATGTTCTGTTTTCATGGCAACAATTTTGACTTTGTCTTTTTGAAGGGTAAAGTTCGTTTCCGGAGCATAATTCTGAAACTAATTGACCCATCTTCACCAAATTTGCTATACAGCCTCTCCATATCAAGTAGATGTGCCTTTTGGGGGTTTGAACTTTTCTTTCAATTTTCTTTTTTTCTGTTTCAATGGCATCAAATTTGGACTTTGTTTTTTTTAAGGGTATGGTTTGTGTTCAGAGCAAACTCTAAAACCACCTCACCCATCTTTCCACAACTGTGGAGTTGTTGATTTGTTGATAAACAATTAAGTTCAACTGAATATAAAAATATTAAATGAAGACTTTACACACATAATAACATACATGTACTATCAATAATATGTATTTTCATACTTAGAGATTTTGAAATTGAAGGAATCAAATGAATTGTTTGAGGTCTCAATCAATGTTGAATTGGGGGAAGGGGGAGACATCTGTTTTTACGACTAAAAACACTTTCTAGTTCTCATTTATGGACAACTATGTTTCATTCAGAATGAAAACTTTCATGTTTCTATGAATTACGTTAACAATATGGAATTATGACAATTTGTTGATATTTTATTAAAATAACATGACGTTCTGGTATTGTTTACATTTAAGTATACACTATTTGTGGACAATAACTTTTATGTTTCCATATATATGTGTTAAACAAATTGGGATTATGATACTTTGTTGCTTTCTATTTAAATTCTCTATAAGTTTCTTGCACTGTAGCAACAAACCACTCCCTTTTGGTTTGCTTTCGAATAGCCAACTTTAAACCTAAAATGGAGCATTGCCATGCACTAGTGCACATTCTGAAACCGTCAGTGTTGACAAAATTTAGAAGCAGGAGGGACAGTATTTTGACTGCAAAAGAAGACGCTTGAAAATTCCAAAGCACTGCGTTAATATACATCTAAATGTGCCCTTGACTGTATTTATTTTTCCATCACAAGGGATAACTATTGCAATGTAAGAACGATGTAGGATCTTTTTAATGCTCTACATGTTCATTTAATTATTGAGTTTTTAAAAGAAGTAGAATTAATTGACAAATTTTGAAATGCATTGTAATAAGAATATGAATTTTAATTTGTGAGAATATATTAATGACTTTGACTGTTAGTGGCATTACCTTCAAAGGGGGTTGAAGTAGCGTAAAATTATTGTTCCCCTGAGAAGGTATGTAAGTCCCATTTTATTCAAAGGATTCTTCATATCACATGTTTTTAATCGTAGAATATGTGTTATTTTAATGTATGGTTTATTTTGACTACAATCGCCAATGACTGAAGGGATGGTGTAACTCCAACTAGGGTCCATGTAGGTAGCAAAGGTACTGTAAGTCCCCATGGTACCTAGTAGGGTGGTCTACCTTCAGCTGTTGGCAATCTATAGCCTGTTTTCATATTGTATTGTAACTAAAATACAAACCAATAATAGCAATTTGAAACTGTGATCGTTTGTTAAACAACTTTTATACTAAGTTAAAAAAATCTTAGATTTAAATGTTCAATTGGCAAGGTAAAATTATGAGGATTCGCAATCTTATTTTCCCTTTATTCGATATACTTTTTATCCCCCGGCATGTAATCATTTTGTTCCTGGAGCATAACTCAAAAACCGTTAAATATTTTTCAACAAACATTGTTAGATACATCAAACAGAACCAATGGTGGTGCCTTTTGGTATTTTCATTTTTTTGTCATTTTTATTTTTCTTGGTTTACATGGAAACGTTTTGGACTTAGTCTTAAAGGGAGGGGGTGGGCTTCATTTCCGGAGCATAACTCAAAAAACGTTCAATATATTCTGCAAAACTTTGTAGATTTATCAAACAGAACCTAAAGTGGTGCCTTTTGCTATTTACAGACTTTTGTGATTTATTATTTTCCTGGTTTCCATGGAAACGAATCGGACTTAGTCTCAAAAGGAAGGGGTGGCCTTTGTTTCCAGAGCACAACTCAAAAGCTTCTTAATATTTTTCAGCAAAACTTGGCAGATATGTGAGGCAGATTCCAAAGTTGTGCCTTTGGCTATTTGCAGATTTTTGGTATTTTTGTTTTTCCTGGTTTCCATGGAAACGATTCAGACTTAGTCTCAAAAGCGAGTATGGCGGAGAAGTCGCCTTCGTTTCCGGAGCACAACTCCAAAACCGATCAATATCTTTCTTCAGGACTTGGTAGATATATCAAACATAAGCTAAAGTGGTGCCTTTTGCTATTTACAGATTTTGGCATTTTTATTTTTCTTGGTTTCCATGGAAACGTTTTAGACTTAGTCTCAAAAGGGAGGGGTGGGCTTCGTTTCTGAAGCACAACTCGAAAATCATTCAATATCTTTCAACAGAACTTGGCAGATATATGAGACAGATCATGAAGTGGTGCCTTTTGCTATTGCAGATTTTTGGCATTTTTTATTTCTCGGTTTCCATGGAAATGGTTTGGACTTAGTCTCCAAAGGGAGGGGTGGGTTTTGTTTCCGGATCACAACTCGAAAACCGTTCAATATCTTTCCACAGGACATGACAGATATATCAAACAGATCTTGAAGTATTGCCTTTTGCTATTTGCAGATGTTTGGCATTTTTATTTCTCATGATTTCCATGAAAACAATTTGGACGTAGTCCAAAAACATCAAGTTGGACTTTAAGTAACTGTCAGTTGATTTGTTCTTTCAAATTTATGGGGGCAGGGGGGTATTTGTCATCTTCTGATGACTCTTGTTTATTTAAAGTGAAATTCATCAGTACCTTTTCACTGCAAACAGACTATAATATGCACGGTTGGAAACAAACATGAGTATGTAAATCTGAGACTTTTAAGATTCAGGAAAGGCTAGTGAAATTTCCTTATAGACTGCTACTTTTCTCGTACCATCAAGCAGATGGCATTGTAGCAGAAGTAGGACAACCAATTTTATCATTATCTAGACTTGGTAACTTCTACTGTGAGGAAGGTGGCAGACTGGTGGTGGATTTTTTAATGGACTTTCGAAAGTAAAAGAATATTTCTAACACTGATATGGTACACTGGTAATATGGTGCCAATACCAAAATTGTTTAATTGACAAACATTTATTGATAATCCATTTGTCATTCAAATAAGGAAAGGCCTCAGATTTTGCAGACAAGAATGACCACTGCTGTCTCACCTTGAACTTGATGTTGTAGTCTCCCATGTTGTAATTGCCTATGTTGTAGTTGCCCAAGCTGTCTGCGCATGACCCTGATGGCAGGTCTGACCAGCTGGAGTTCAGACTGGACGGAGATGGCAGTGACCTGTTTCAGATGAACTCTGTGACCGGGGCCATTGCAGTCAGAAAGGAGGCCATCTTTGACACGGAGCAGACGCAGTTCTACAACTTAACGGTGAGACCTAGAACCTGTATATTGCTTTGGCATTGGAAACTAAAATAAGTGATTCCAAATTTTGTGAGTAAACTCTCATTTCAGTATCCAGAGTCATTGGACTGTTTGTTTGTTCTTTTGGGTTTTTATGTTTCGTTCAATTGCTCATCCGTCCATCTGTTTGAACATTTGTTCGTTCGTTTGTTTGTTTTGTTCATTCGTTTGACACCCACTTGGCAATATTCCAGTTATATGATGGTTGCCTGTAAATAAAGGACTCTGGACCAGACAATCCAGTGACTAATAATGTTTTCAATGATCAGAGAGTTGGGTACAAGTACATGATCTTCACAAGCCTGACCAAACTATCCATTTGAGAAAACAACACCTCTTACAACCAGCACTCATTGCTGGTGATAAATTCGAATCCAGAATAAAAATGGGAAAAGCTTAAGCAGATTGCAATAAGTTGCTTTGGATTGTGATACAATTGTCTGTATTAGAATATTACCAAGATAAGGAAAAGTGGAACAGCCCTTCCAGATCCATTTTTTTTTCCATCACGTTTTTTCAAACAGATCTTTCTCTCAAGGTCTCTGGGGTGTTATCAAATAAAGGCAACTGAATTTTCCATACAAGTTGTATGGAGAAGCTTAATTGATTCTTGGAGTGATGAGAGAAATTCACATGCTGTTTTCCTATACCCCAGATTGTGGCGAGTGATGGGTGGTTCAGCTCGGCAGCAGCACTGGACATCAACGTGAAGGACATCAACGACAACACCCCTGAGTTCAGCTACAACACTACAATCTACCTTGACCCATTTGCACCTCTGGGGAGTCATGCTGGAGATGCTTCTGCTGTCGACGGCGACGTCACTGATCGCAACAGTGACGTCCACTATCACCTGCTGGGAGGTGGGCTGGACAAGTTCACTATACATGAAGAAACAGGTAGGTTGATGGCATAGTGAGTCAAATGTGGCGCCCGTGGTGATTCCAGTCTAGAATTTGCTTCCAATGTCTTTCCAGTGCTGGTCATATATGTGACTTAATTAATCCGGAGGTCAGGCTTGGTGATTTTGTTGGTTATGTTAACAGTGATTTAATACCAATCACTTGATTGTCTGGTCCATGCTCATTTATTATAATGCTGCTGTGATATTATTGGAATGTTGCTATAAAAGTATATTATTGGAAGTGTTGTATAAAAACACTCACTCGCTCACTCACTCACTCACTCACTCACTCATTCATTCATCAACAGGTCAGCTGACACTAGCTTCATCTCTAATGGACGACCCGAAGCGCAGCGAATACAATGTGAAGGTGCTGGCATTTGACATGGGGACCCCCCAACAGAGGACTGAGGGCGTGTTCAAGATTAGAGTTCCTGTCAACTATCAGCCTCACTTTGAATCTGTGTACAGATTCAGCGTTAAGGAGAATGTCACAGTGGGGTCAGAGTTTGGCCAGGTCAAGGCAACTGACAAAAACATAGAACAGGGCGAGGATGACAGACTAAGTTATTTCATCGATGAGAAGAGTACTCAAGGTATGTAATCTATCCGTGCTGATAAGATCATGATTGTATCAATGATTGTAAATTGATTGTGCATGATATATGACAGCAGTATATTTTGCTGCAGAAAATGTTTTCCCCATTAATATATTAGAACTCTTTGAATGAGTTCCTTTTTTTCTTAGAAAACGTCAGACTGTCTACCAGTAACAATTCATACCTGACAAATGACCCTTAAACAGGGACTTTCAGACAATAAAACCATTGAAATTACAACAACAAAAAATCTTTGAAAAAATATATTATATGCTGTCACCTAACCATGTGTCTTTTCTAATTGTTATGTCTAGTTGTTTAAATATTTAATATTTTGATACTATTTTAGCTCACTTGACTGACAATGCTTGTGTGGCATCCATTGTCATCTATAAACATCTGACTACTTCAGTAGAAACTGCTGGACATATTTCACATGCTTGTTCCTACTAAATGATGACACCTAATTTTGTTCAAGAGGTTCGAATCTTGTTTTCAAAATGGACACAAGGCAGTAATATTCATCAACCATTGCTAACCTTTACTCTACAGTCCTTTTTTAAAAATGTATTCTGGAATGATATTTTAAAATGTTGGCTGCTTGTCCAGGTGAGCTACAGTCCATGTTATTCCTATGTAATGCCACAGTGTGTAATGTATTGAACATATGTCCAGGTGAGCTACAGTCCATGTTATTCCTGTGTTATGTCACAGAGTGTAATGTACTGAACGTATGTCCAGGTGAGCTACAGTCCCTGCTATTATTCCTGTGTAATGTCACAGTGTGTAATGTACTGAACATTTGTCCAGGTGAGCTACAGTCCCTATTATTCCTGTGTAATGTCACAGTGTGTAATGTACTGAACGTATGTCCAGGTGAGCTACAGCCCATGTTTTACCTGTGTAATGTCACAGTGTGTAATGTACTGAACATATGTGCAGGTGAGCTTCAGTCCCTGTTATTCCTGTGTAATGCCACAGTGTGTAATGTTCTGAACATATGTGGAGGTGAGCTTCAGTCCCTGTTATTCCTGTGTAATGTCACAGTGTGTAATGTACTGAATATATGTCCAGGTGAGCTACAGTCTGTGTTATTCCTGTGTGATGCCACAGAGTAATGTACCGAACTTATGTCCAGGTGTCGACTTCCCATTCTACATGAACCGACACTCTGGTCAGTTGGTCATCTCCTGTGTGCTGGACCGAGAGAAGAAGGACATGTATGATTTCACGGTGTACGCCACAGACTCCAAGCAGCCTGTGTACACAGCATCAACTCTGGTGTATGTCACCATTGATGACGTCAACGACAATGCTCCACAATTCGGCGCTGCATCCTACACTGGTCACATCCAGGAGGATGACTCCAACCCAGGAGCTCCACAAGCTGTCTCTGTGGTAGGGCACACTCACGCTATTACATCGCACAAGCTGTCCGTGGGAGGGCACAATCTCCCTGTAGTGGGGCACATTCATGCTGGTACATTGCACAATCTGTCTCTGTGTTAGGGCAGTATTATGATAAGGGTCTTTGCGTGCTGGTCTGCTTGGGGAAATTAACTCAGCAAAGAGTCCGAAGTCACAAGAAGCTAATCACAATTTTATTTACAAGAATGGAATAACATGGGGTGGCCACAGTGAGTCGGTACAACCCTCTGGGCTGAGGGCTAGAGCTAACCTGTGTTGGGAGAGTCTAAACCCTACTGACAAACATTTGATTTCCAAACTATTTATCTACAATTATAACAACAAAGAGATTAAGATTCTTTGACTGATACAAAAATGGGTGTGCCCTACAACAACCAATGAAATACAGAATGGGGTGTGTCCTACATAATCACTGAAATGATCAGACAGGGAGGAGTACTTAATCCTGCTAATCCTATTTCAACTGACACTAATCTTGTTGGCACATTTACTGTATGCTTGGATGATTATGGTATTACAATAGGATGCTTGGATTACAATAGATGCGCTTACTCTGGGCCATGTCTTAATGACCCTAAATTGGTGTTTGCTTAATGTTATTATAATATAGGTAATGATATGTTTACTTTATCAAAACAGTTTATTAAACCGTCTAGACATAACTTTTTGTCTTACTGAAAGGTTTGTCTAACAGTTGAGTCCTTGATACCTTAGGCTAGGATTTATCTTGAACATCTGTGAAATTGTGCAGTAGTAACTTAACTTTTCAATAGTATGTCTGTGAGATGAGTTTTACTACTTTTGACTGGAGTCTTTCTCTAAGCTATTACATGACTAATATTCTATATTTATATTTGCCTAATATCTGAATCCTAATATATCGCTTGTAGTGGTTATAATTAATAATGAATTTTCGTATGAATTATTATTCCATGATAGCACACTTACACTGTTGAAGGGCACAAGCTGTCTGTGGTAGGGCACACTCACACTGTTGAAGGGCTGTGGTACACTCACACTGCTGTCAATCTCTGTGGTGGGACACACTCACACTGTTGAAGGGCACATCTCTCTCTGTGGTGGGATGCACTCACACTGTTGAAAAGCACAATCTCTTGGTGGTGGGACACACTCACACTGTTGAAGGGACAATCTCTGTGGTGGGACACACTCACACTGTTGAAGGACAATCTCTCTGGTGGTGGGACACATGCTGTTGAAGGACAATCTCTCTGTGGTGGGACACACTCACACTGTTGAAGGGACAATCTCTCTGTGGTAGGGCACACTCACACTGTTGAAGGGCACAAGCTGTCTCTGTGGTAGGGCACACTCACACTGTTGAAGGGACAATCTCTCTGTGGTAGGGCACACTCACACTGTTGAAGGGCACAATCTCTCGGTGGTGGGACACACTCACACTGCTGAAGGGCACAATCTCTCTGTGGTGGGATGCACTCACACTGTTGAAAAGCACAATCTCTTGGTGGTGGGACACACTCACACTGTTGAAGGGACAATCTCTGTGGTGGGACACACTCACACTGTTGAAGGGACAATCTCTCGGTGGTGGGACACACTCACACTGTTGAAGGGACAATCTCGGTGGTGGGACACACCCACGCTGTTGAAGGGACAATCTCGGTGGTGGGACACACTCACACTGTTGAAGGGACAATCTATCTGTGGTAGGGCACACTCACACTGTTGAAGGGCACAATCTCTCTGTGGTGGGACACACTCACACTGTTGAAGGGACAATCTCTGGTGGTGGGACACACACCACACTGTTCAAGAGACAATGTCTCTCTCAGTGGTGGGACACACTCACACTGTTGAAGGGACAATCTCTGTGGTGGGACACACTCACACTGTTGAAGGGACAATCTCTCTGTGGTGGGACACACTCACACTGTTGAAGGGGGCACAATCTTCTGTGTTGGGACACACTCACACTGTTGAAGGGACAATCTCTCTCTGGTGGGACACACTCACACTGTTGAAGGGACAATCTCTCTGTGGTGGGACACACTCACACTGTTGAAGGGACAATCTCTCTGGTTGGACACACTCACACTGTTGAAGGGCACAATCTCGGTGGTGGGACACACACTGTTGAAGGGACAATCTCTCTGTGGTGGGACACACTCACACTGTTGAAGGGACAATCTCTCTGGTGGGACACACTCACACTGTTGAAGGGCACAATCTCTCGGTGGTGGGACACACTCACACTGTTGAAGGGACAATCTCTCTGTGGTAGGACACACTCACACTGTTGAAGGGACAATCTCTCGGTGGTGGGACACACTCACACTGTTGAAGGGACAATCTATCTGTGGTGGGACACACTCACACTGTTGAAGGGACAATCTCTCTGGTTGGACACACTCACACTGTTGAAGGGCACAATCTCTGTGGTGGGACACACACTGTTGAAGGGACAATCTCTCTGTGGTGGGACACACTCACACTGTTGAAGGGACAATCTATCTGTGGTGGGACACACTCACACTGTTGAAGGGCACAATCTCTCTGTGGTAGGACACACTCACACTGTTGAAGGGCACAATCTCTCTGTGGTGGGACACACTCACACTGTTGAAGGACAATCTCTGTTGTGGTAGGGACACACACTCACACTGTTGAAGAGACAATGTCTCTGTGGTGGGACACACTCACACTGTTGAAGGGATCTCTCTCTGGTGGGACACACTCACACTGTTGTGGTGGGACACACTCACACTGTTGAAGGGACAATCTCTCTGTGGTGGGACACACTCACACTGTTGAAGGGACAATCTATCTGTGGTGGGACACACTCACACTGTTGAAGGGACAATCTCTCTGTGGTGGGACACACTCACACTGTTGAAGGGACAATCTCTCTGTGGTGGGACACACTCACACTGTTGAAGGGACAATCTCTCTGTGGTGGGACACACTCACACTGTTGAAGGGACAATCTCTCTGTGGTGGGACACACTCACACTGTTGAAGGGACAATCTCTCTGGTGGGACACACTCACACTGTTGAAGGGCACAATCTCTCTGTGGTGGGACACACTCACACTGTTGAAGGGACAATCTCTCTGTGGTGGGACACACTCACACTGTTGAAGGGACAATCTCCTCTGTGGTGGGACACACTCACACTGTTGAAGGGACAATCTCTCTGGTGGTGGGACACACTCACACTGTTGAAGGGACAATCTCTCTGGTGGTGGACACACTCACACTGTTGAAGGGACAATCTCTCTGTGGTGGGACACACTCACACTGTTGAAGGGACAATCTCTCTGTGGTGGGACACACTCACACTGTTGAAGGGACAATCTCTCTGCGGTGGTTGAAGGACACACTCACACTGTTGAAGGGCACAATCTCTGTGGTGGGACACACTCACACTGTTGAAGGGACAATCTCTCTGTGTGGTGGGACACACTCACACTGTTGAAGGGACAATCTCTCTGTGGTAGGGACACACTCACACTGTTGAAGGGACAATCTCTGTGGTGGGACACACTCACACTGTTGAAGGGCACAATCTCTGTGGTGGGACACACTCACACTGCTGAAGGGCACAATCTCTCTGGTGGGATGCACACTCACACTGTTGAAGGCACAATCTCTCTGGTGGGACACACTCACACTGTTGAAGGACAATCTCTGTGGTGGGACACACTCACACTGTTGAAGGGACAATCTCTCTGTGGTGGGACACACTCACACTGTTGAAGGACAAATCTCGGTGGTGGGGACACACTGTTCAACACTGTGGTGAAGGACACACTCACACTGTTGAAGGGACAATCTCTCTGTGGTAGGGCACACTCACACTGTTGAAGAGACAATCTCTTGGTGGTGGGACACACTCACACTGTTGAAGGGCACAATCTCTCGGTGGTGGGATGCACTCACACTGTTGAAGGGCACAATCTCTCGGTGGTGGGACACACTCACACTGTTGAAGGGACAATCTCTGGTGTGGTGGGACACACTCACACTGTTGAAGGGACAATCTCTCTGTGGTGGGACACACTCACACTGTTGAAGGGACAATCTCTGTGGTGGGACACACTCACACTGTTGAAGGGACAATCTCTGTGGTGGGACACACTCACACTGTTGAAGGGACAATCTCTCTGTGGTGGGACACACTCACACTGTTGAAGGGCACAATCTCTCTGGTGGGACACACTCACACTGTTGTGGGACTGGTGGGACACTCACACTGTTGAAGGAGACAATCTCTTCTGTGGTGGGACACACTCACACTGTTGAAGGACAATCTCTCTGTGGTGGGACACACTCACACTGTTGAAGGGACAATCTCTCTGTGGTGGGACACACTCACACTGTTGAAGGACAATCTCTCTGTGGTGGGACACACTCACACTGTTGAAGGGACAATCTCTCACACTCACACTGTTGAAGGGACAATCTCTCTGTGGTGGGACACACTCACACTGTTGAAGGGACAATCTCTCTGGTGGGACACACTCACACTGTTGAAGGGCACAATCTCTGGTGGTGGGACACACTCACACTGTTGAAGGGACAATCTCTCTGTGGTGGGACACACTCACACTGTTGAAGGGACAATCTCTCTGGTGGGACACACTCACACTGTTGAAGGGACAATCTCTTGGTGGTGGGACACACTCACACTGTTGAAGGGACAATCTCTCTGGTGGTGGGACACACACCTCACACTGTTGAAGGGCACAATCTCTCTGTGGTGGACACACACACTGTTGAAGGACAATCTCTCTGTGGTGGGACACACTCACACTGTTGAAGGGACAATCTTCTGTGGTGGGACACACTCACACTGTTGAAGGGCACAATCTCTCGGTGGTGGGACACACTCACACTGTTGAAGGGCACAATCTCTTGGTGGTGGGACACACTCACACTGTTGAAGGGACAATCTCTCTGTGGTGGGACACACTCACACTGTTGAAGGGACAATCTCTCGGTGGTGGGACACACTCACACTGTTGAAGGGACAATCTCTCTGTGGTGGGACACACTCACACTGTTGAAGGGACAATCTCTCTGTGGTGGGACACACTCACACTGTTGAAGGACAATCTCTGTGGTGGGACACACTCACACTGTTGAAGGGACAATCTCTCTGTGGTGGGACACACTCACACTGTTGAAGGGGCACAATCTCTCGGTGGTGGGACACACTCACACTGTTGAAGGGACAATCTCTCTGGTGGTGGGACACACTCACACTGTTGAAGGGCACAATCTCTGGTGGTGGGACACACTCACACTGTTGAAGGGAGCACAATCTCTCTGGTGGGACACACTCACACTGTTGAAGGGCACAATCTCGGTGGTGGGACACACTCACACTGTTGAAGGACAATCTCTCTGGTGGGACACACTCACACTGTTGAAGGGCACAATCTCTTGGTGGTGGGACACACTCACACTGTTGAAAGGGCACAATCTCTGTGGTGGGACACACTCACACTGTTGAAGGGACAATCTCTCTCTGTGGTGGGACACACTCACACTGTTGAAGGGCACAATCTCTTCTGTGGTGGGACACACTCACACTGTTGAAGGGACAATCTCTCTGTGGTGGGACACACTCACACTGTTGAAGGACAATCTCTCTGTGGTGGGACACACTCACACTGTTGAAGGGACAATCTCGGTGGTGGGACACACTCACACTGTTGAAGGGACTGTGTGTAATCTCTGGTGGGACACACTCACACTGTTGAAGGGACAATCTCTCTGGTGGGACAATCTCACACTCAATGGTGGTGGGACACACTCACACTGTTGAAGGGCACAATCTCTCGGTGGTGGGACACACACACCACACTGTTGAAGGGACAATCTCTCTGTGGTGGGACACACTCACACTGTTGAAGGGACAATCTCTCTGTGGTAGGACACACTCACACTGTTGAAGGGACAATCTCTCTGGTGGGACACACACTGTTGAAGGGACAATCTCTCTCTGTGGTGGGACACACTCACACTGTTGAAGGGCACAATCTCTGGTGGTGGGACACACTCACACTGTTGAAGGGACAATCTCTCTGTGGTGGGACACACTCACACTGTTGAAGGGCACAATCTCTCTGTGGTGGGACACACTCACACTGTTGAAGGGCACAATCTCTGTGGTGGGACACACTCACACTGTTGAAGGGCACAATCTCTCTGTGGTGGGACACACTCACACTGTTGAAGGGCACAATCTCTCTGGTGGTGGGACACACTCACACTGTTGAAGGGACAATCTCTCTGTGGTGGGACACACTCACACTGTTGAAGGGACAATCTCTCTGGTGGGACACACTCACACTGTTGAAGGGCACAATCTCTCTGTGGTGGGACACACTCACACTGTTGAAGGGCACAATCTCTCTGTGGTGGGACACACTCACACTGTTGAAGGGCACAATCTCTGTGGTGGGACACACTCTCACACTGCTGAAGAGCACAATCTCTCTGTGGTGGGACACACTCACACTGTTGAAGTGCACAATCTCTCTGTGGTGGGACACACTCACACAGTTGAAGGGCACAATCTCTCTTTGGTGGGACACACTCACACTGTTGAAGGGCACAATCTCCCTGTGGTAGGGCACACTCACACTGTTGAAGTGCACAATGTACTTCAGATCTAGCCCCAGAAACATCCGTTATATAGTATGACCAGAAATTATTGAGAATTTTAGGAATATGTTTAATTGGATCTCTAGTATAAACAAGCTTGACCAGCTATCAAGTGCTTGGTTTCATTCAAGAGAGACAACTCTGTTAATCCTTTTTCATTAGTTTGTGAAGAGTTATCCCCCTTTGTTTACTTGCTAGCAGACAACATTTTCAGTGATCCTCAGTATGAAGGATTTAGAGAAGAGGAAGTTGATTTTAGAGTATTATAACAAGGACATCAGATCAGCTAAAGTGATTTCAAGTAGAACAGGCATGCCTTTGTCCACTGTTTATCGTGTTTTGAAAAATATTGCAAATGGATATGGTATTGAGCACCAGGGAGGCCCAGAATATTGACTGCCGGTGACAGGAGACGGCTTGGTATTCTCGTTTCAAAAAACAAACGAAGGAGTTTAGAAAACTTAAGGCTGGATTTGATTGATAGAGGAACTGTGGCTGTCTGTAAGGAGACAATTAGAACTGAGCTGCATGCAATGGGTTGGCAGAAAAGTCGGGACAATGTGATTTTCTCAGATGAAAGTTCTGTGTGGCTGTTTATTAATACACTGAAATTCTGGACCAAACAAACTGAAAAACCTTTGTATCAGCGCCCAAAGTACAGTCCGAAATTTAACGTGTGGGGTGGCATATCTGTGTTAGGGGCAACGCCCCTCTGTGTATTTGAAGGGAATATGAACAGTGAGCGGTACACAGATATTCTCGAGGGACATTTGCTTCCATCTGCTCACGTGTTCTATGGAAATGTTTTGATTTTCCAGCAGGACAACGACCCAAAACATCGTTCAAAGCATTCACAGGCCTGGTTTCAGACCCAACATATGACATTATTAGATTGGCCAAGCTGTAGCCCTGACCTAAATCCAATAGAAAATGTTTGGGGACTTATGAAGGAAAGTGTCAATAAGAAAAATCTGACAAATATTGCTGAATGAAAGAAGAGGTGGTCCGATATTGGGACAGCATGGACCATGACTTTCTAACTTCTTTGATCAGTAGTATGCCCCGCCGCATTGAAGCCTGCATTGCTGCCCATGGTGACTTGACAAAATACTAACTGTTCACCTGTCTTTGAATCTGGAGTTATGTTCTGTTAATATTCACATTAATACATGTACGTGAGTAATGAGTAAAAAAATGTTTTAAAATTTGCAATCTTTAAATTCTCAATAATTTCTGGTTGTACTGTATATAACCCATGTGGCTTGAAGCTTCTGTTCATTGCTATTAAAGTAGCATGTTAGTAGTAAGTGTTGTGTAAAGGGTGTAAATGTTTTATGTTCAGACTCCACTGGTGTCAGCCACTGACGCTGACAATAACCGTGAGGACTTGACATACAGTTTGGACGGACCAGGGAGTGACCTGTTTGACCTTGACCCTGTGACAGCCCAGCTGCGTCAGAAGACAGCAGGGAGCCTGGACAGTGAGATGCATCATCAGCACAACCTTACAGTATGTATATAATCTGTACTGAAATATAGACAGTATCATGCACAGATGTAATCGATCTATGCCATTGGGATACGATTACATGTGTCAACCCAAGTCAGCAAACCTGACCACCTGATCCTGTTAGCCGCCTCTAACGATAAGCATGGGTTGCCAAAGACCAGTTCTAACGCAGATATTCACGGGTTGGAAAAGTGGGGTGTTCTTCAACTTCTTTTGAAAAATATATTTCATTTCATAAATTGTTTTTAGATCTGACAATTTTGCATCTATGTGTTCTGTTAGTTAATACCAAGGGAATCTCAGTCGAAAAGTGCCTACCCATGGCTCTGATGATACCCATTGCAACTAAACAACACAGCATATTCTACCTCACTCATGACACATTTTATTCTCCAGCTTGTGGTCTCAGACGGTGATCACAAGACAACTGCGGACCTATACGTGATGGTCGCAGACATTAATGATAATGCCCCCAGATTCCTGCCCACCACAAAACTACGAGTAGCCCCGAGGAGCGAGTGGGGACAGTACTTGGGAGGGTGCAGGCTATAGACAGGGACACCTCCCCAGGGAATGGGGACATCGCCTACTACCTCCAGGGAGGGGGTCTGGACAAGTTCTCCATTCAGCCAGACACAGGTAGGGTTTGTTTTGTTTTACATCTTATTTCAGAGGCTGCTATATTCTGGCTGTATCAAAGCAATTTGTAAAAAATTAATTTTGGGAAAGGAAAAACAGTGGATGATGTATGACCAACGTACCATGCCAATGAGCCATGATGAAACGTCGTCAAACAAGGGACTTTCACAAGTGTAGTAAGCTGTTAATTATCAACCCTAAAGTCCAGTCACATGATATGCAAATTAGCCTGTGGCAGTGATGTTATGTTAACTCATCACTGTTCCAGAGTGTGTCAATTACAGTCAAGAAGAAAGTCCATTACAGTCTTGACCTCATGTCATCACCAATTATGGAAAAAGAAATGTATCGTATGTATCATGATTGAGGGTTGTAAATTGATACTGATCTGTATCATGGGCCTCCTATGTACTGTATCACTGTATACCACATACTTACCAGTCTGTGACATAAGCCTTATATCAACATGTCCACCATTGTCCACAGGGGAGATAACTCTCATTGGAGGGCTGCTGGACGACCCCTACAGAGAAGAGTATAGGCTTCAAATACGAGCTGTGGACTTTGGCCAGCCACAGATGTCTGACTCCATGGTTCTCACTGTGACTGTCCCTCTCAACAAACCCCCCATGGTGTCGGCCGAGACGGTGTTTAGGGTGGACGAGGACCAACCGGTCGGGACAGAGATTGGTCATGTAGCGGTGTCCGACCCTGATGGCACGCACAACCTGGTGTATGAGATAACGGACTCAGACGGTGAGTACATGTTGGGGGATAGTCTCAGCGGTTAGTATATTGGTTTGTTATACCTGATAGCCTGGGTTTTATTCTTAATTACCTTCGATGAGGTGAGGTCACATGAGATCACGTGAAATTGGGTTTAGCCATTATTTTACTTATGTAAGGATGTGTGTGTGGGTGGTGGTAGTGTTTGTTCTAGTGTGGACATGTGCTGGTCTTATAGTGCTGGCCCACTCAGATTCCAGGTGTTTATTGTGGATTCCACACTCACATAATGAGTGAGTAAGTTTAGTATTACGCCACACTTAGCAATATTCCAGCTATATGGTGGTGGTCTGTTAATAATCGCGTCTGGACCAGACAATCCAGTGATCAATAGCATGAGCATCAATCTATGCAATTTGGAACCGATGACATGTGTCAACCAAGTCAGTGAGCCTGACCACCTGATCCCATTAGTCGCCCCTTATGTGCAAGCTTGGGTTACTGAAGATCAATTCTATCCCGGATCTTCCCGGGTCCACTCAGATAGTATATTCAAAGAGTTTCCAACTTCGTTGTAGAATTTCACTTATGAAAATCTTCCAATTCGATTTGTACAACAAGGGCATGCTAGTATGAGGCTACAGTTTTGTAAAGAGCTACATGTATGCCAAAGTCTCTTTTGAATGAGGACGGTAGGGTAGCCTTGTGGTTAAAGCTTTCACTTGTCATGTCGAAGACCCGGGTTCGATTCCCCATATGGGTACAATGTGTGAAGCATATTTCTAGTGTCCCCATCCATGGTATTGCTGGAATATTGCTAAAAGCAGTGTAAAACTAATTTCATTCACTCTTTTAAAAGAGTCATTTTGATTGGTCAGTTTCAATAAACACCAGTGTTTTTCATTTCAGTGCCTTTCCAGATTGACCAATCAGGCACCATCACCGTGATGACAAAACTGGACAGTGAGAGAAGGGACAAGTACAAGTTCCCTGTGTTTGTGGTGGATGCTGGCAGTCCCACACACACCGCTACAACCACTACCACCATCTACGTCGACGGTGTCAACGATGAGAAGCCGCTGTTCTCACACACCATGTACACAGCATTGGTAGAGGAGAACCTTTCACTAGAGGCGTCTCTCAAACCGATACCTATTGTGAGTAATGGATACTTAACTTCAGCTGTTTTAGTTTCATGCTCTAACTTCTACGTGTTGTGAGTAACTCATGACCAAACATATACCGTTTACTTGATGTCGCAGACCCCAGAGTTGATGGTGACCGATGGTGACTCCATGGATGGGGGTGAAGTTGTGTTGACACTGGAGGGGGAGGGGAGTGATATCTTCTCCATTGACACAGTCACCCATGACCTGAAGATCACAGATCCCAATCTCATAGACTGTGAGAGAAAGTGTGAATACAACCTGCTGGTAAGTACCAGACTGTTAACAGTGACAACTTGATCATGAAGACTGATTCTTTGTAGTGGTGATCCGATTAATTGAAATAATCGAAGATTGGTCGCAGTGACTAAACGACCAAGCAATCGATCACGTTTTCTCATAATCAAACACAAACAATTCTGGAACACTTGTTTTCATCAACAATATTTTTCACAAGGTTGGTTTTGTCTGTTACATTTCATAAGCATTATAAGCTCGTTCCAAGTCATGATTGAATATATCTTAAAGACACCAAGAAATTTATGTTCCTTACATACTAGTCATCCTTTAGAGATGTGAAATTTTGTCCAAACCCCCCAAAATAACTACATGTTTTTTTTCTTATGTATTTGTGCATTAACAAATTTCATAAATGACGCTAACCAATTATTTTCGATGATTGATCGGTGGTAATGAACCAATCATCAATTATGAGATTTTAACCAATTCCCAACACTAATTCTTTGTGGATAGTAACGTAAATGCATTGTATAAGCAGAGATATCAGTGAAAACAGAGTTCACTTAGATTTCACTCTATCTGTTGTTTCCATGAGACGTTTTGATACAGGTGCAAGTAGTCCTATCAGGCAAGTGACACTTCCCTGCTTGATAATGGTAGTAGCACCTGTATAAAAATGTTGCATGTCAATGTCAAAGAAGGTGAAGTCCATAAGTGTTCTGTCTTCAGTCTTACAACATATAATAGCCTGACTATCAGTCTTGCAACTTTTCAAAACTGATCACCTGCCAGCAAGATTTACTGTCTCAGACTGTCAGGAAGACAGGTATTTTAGCACTACTTTTGAACATGAAAATTTGTAGAACAAGCTGCTAAATTGCCCTGTCCTCACCCTCAAAACAAACATGATAAAGTATGCAAAAAGTAATCATGATCTAGTGTTATAGGCATTCATTTGGAATTCTTCTTCACCTTCATCTTCTTCTTCAATACTGAACCTTAGAAACGTAATTATTGTAGCTGATTGCAACTGACGATGACGGACATGGTCTACAGAGCAGTGCCAACCTGACGATCACTATCCTCGATGTCAATGACAATGCTCCCTCCTTCCAACACATGTACAACTTCAGTGTTCCCCCAGACACTCCAGTAGGCACAGTTGTGGGTGTGGTGGAGGCGGTAGATATCGATGGCTTTGAGGGCAACAACAGAATCACATATCTCCTGACCAGGGGAGGAGTAGGGAAGTTCTTCGTGGACCCAGTGTCAGGTAGGTGGATTGTATAGACAGAATAAATAGGTTATAGCTCCAGGATAGATGATGTGTTGGTAGGTAGGAGCCACGTAGCTCGCTGGTAGATGTGTGTTGGTAGATAGGAGCCATGTAGCTCGCTGATAGATGTGTGTTGGTAGATAGAAGCCACATAGGTCGCTGGTAGATGTGTGTTGGTAGATAGGAGCCACGTAGCTTGCTGATAGATGTGTGTTCGTAGATAGAAGCCACATAGGTCGCTGGTAGATGTGTGTTGGTAGATAGGAGCCACATAGCTCGCTGGTAGATGTGTGTCGGTAGATAGGAGCTACGTAGCTTGCTGGTAGATGTGTGTTCGTAGATAGAAGCCACATAGATCGCTGGTAGATGTGTGTCGGTAGATAGGAGCTACATAGCTTGCTGGTAGATGTGTGTTGGTAGATAGGAGCCACATAGATTGCTGGTAGATGTGTGTTCGTAGATAGAAGCCACATAGGTCGCTGGTAGATGTGTGTTGGTAGATAGGAGCCACGTAGCTTGCTGGTAGATGTGTGTTGGTAGATAGAAGCCACATAGGTCGCTGGTAGATGTGTTGGTAGATAGGAGCTACGTAGCTTGCTGGTAGATGTGTGTTGGTAGATAGAAGCCACATAGGTCGCTGGTAGATGTGTGTTGGTAGATAGGAGCCACATAGCTCCCTGATAGATGATGTGTTGGTAGATAGAAGCCACGTAGCTCCCTGATAGATGATGTGTTGGTAGATAAAAGCCACGTAGCTCCCTGATAGATGATGTGTTGGTAGATAGAAGCCACGTAGCTCCCTGATAGATGATGTGTTGGTAGATAAAAGCCACATAGCTCGCTGATAGATGATGTGTTGGTAGATAGAAGCCACGTAGCTCGCTGGTAGATGTGTGTTGGTAGATAGAAGCCACGTAGCTCGCCTGATAGATGATGTGTTGGTAGATAGAAGCCACGTAGCTTGCTGGTAGAAGTGTGTTGGTAGAAAGAAAGCCGCAGCTCATTGGTAGATGATGTGTTGGTAGAGAGAAGAGGTCGCTGGTAGATGTATGTTGGTAGATAGAAGCCACGTAGCTCCCTGATAGATGATGTGTTGGTAGATAAAAGCCACGTAGCTCCCTGATAGATGATGTGTTGGTAGATAGAAGCCACGTAGCTCGCTGGTAGATGTGTGTTGGTAGATAGAAGCCACGTAGCTCGCTGGTAGATGTGTGTTGGTAGTAAGGAGCCACATAGCTCCCTGATAGATGATGTGTTGGTAGATAGAAGCCACGTAGCTCCCTGATAGATGATGTGTTGGTAGATAGAAGCCACGTAGCTCCCTGATAGATGATGTGTTGGTAGATAGAAGCCACGTAGCTCCCTGATAGATGATGTGTTGGTAGATAGAAGCCACGTAGCTCGCTGGTAGATATGTGTTGGTAGATAGGAGCCACGTAGCTCGCTGGTAGATGTATGTTGGTAGATAGAAGCCTCATAGGTCGCTGGTAGATGTATATTAGTAGATTGAAGTCACATAGATCACTGGTACTATATATATATATAGTGGTAGATGGCATGTTTGTGGATAGAAGCCCCATACCTCATTGGTATTAGGTGTATTGGTAGAGAGAAGCCACATAGTTCACTGGTAGATGTATGTTGGTAGAGAGAAGCCACATAGATCACTGGTAGATGTATGTTGGTAGAGAGAAGCCACATAGCTCACTGGTAGTGGCATGTTTGTAGAGAAAAGCCACATTACTCACTGGTAGGAGGTATGTTTGTAGATAGAAGCCACATAACTCACTGGTAGGAGGTATGTTGGTAGAAAGAAGCCACATAGATCACTGGTAGGTAGCATGTTGGTAGAGAGAAGCCACATAGCTCACTGGTAGGTGACATGTTTGTAGAGAAAAGCCACATAACTCACTGGTAGGAGGTATGTTGGTAGATAGAAGCCACATAACTCACTGGTAGGAGGTATGTTGGTAGATAGAAACCATGTAGTTCACTGTTATATAGAGGTTTTTGGAAGCCACATAGCTCACTGGTAGATGATGTGTTGGTAGATAGAAGCCATGCAGCTCACTGGCATGTATTATAATGGTAAATAAAAGCCACGAAGCTATCATATAGCGTGTTAGTAAAAGTTAAATAACCCTTGCAGATCACGCGGTAGTGGGTATGTTTGAG